TGTCACTGAATTGTACACGTAGAAACTATTGAACTGGTGTATGTCCTGCTGTATATGTTCTCAACAACAACAAAATAAATAAACTTTTTTAAAAAAGAAAAGTTATGTCTACTATTAGGTTGAACCACATGAAATTGTTGAACAGTAGTTTCACAAGATTCAATCTAATATATTCTCCTTTAAAAGACAGCACACTCTGTGACATTTTATAAAGATTTCCACCACTGCTGGTGCCAGATGAATCAAACTCTCAAGTGAAAAATCCCACCTGGGAAAGGGGACATGAAGAAAGCATTTCAGTGGGAAGGAAGAATGTCTGGTAGGGAGAGCAGACACCAGAGCATTCAGACCTGTGGGTTCTGTTTCTGGCTTTGCCAGCTCCTTCCTAAGGACTGGAAGCAGAGAGAGAACGTTTTCAGCTTGTGGATAACTGCCTCACGGGGGCACCTGATACTCACTTGTCGTGTCAAACGAGGGTTTCTAATGAAGAACAGAGCCCTGGTGGTGCAGTGGTTAAGTGTTCGTCTGCTAACCAGAAGGTCGGCAGTTTGAGTCCACTAGCTGCTCCTTGGAAACCCTATGTGACAATTCTACTCTGTCCTGTAGGGTCGCTATGAGTCGGAATCCACCTGACGGCAATGGGTTTGGTTTGGTTTAATGATGAACAGCAACTAATATCACTCTTCATCTTGGACTGAACCAGTCCTGCTAATTACTGACCCTCTTTATTTCAGAATTTCCTACATCGCCTTTTAAAGGTGATATAAAGGGAGAATGGTCCTGTCACAGGGGAAGAGGAATTCTTTTATTTCAACAAATAACCTCACTTCTCACTCCTGAGAGCTTGGTTGAGAAATCCTGACACAGAGTTATGCAGGTAAGGTAAAAATGACACAGGAAGTGAAATCGCCCCCATCAGAAAAGGGGCTGCTCATCAAAGGAAATACAAATCTTACCCATAATCCCAGCGAGACTCTTCAGATGCAGAACAGAGTCTCGGATGCCTTGGGTTTTCTAAGCAAAATAAATATTTGAAGATGAAAAAAAAATACCAGTAGTGTAAGAGTTCCTTTTTATAACACTGCTTGTCCCCACCCGCCACACTCTTAGCTCACAGGTATTGTTTTATCTTAAGAATTAATACTATGACGTAAGTAGAAATAAGCTTTACTCTCAGAGTAGGGGAGTAGTAAGGAAAACAGGCTTCTGGGTTAGACACATGCGAGTTTAAATCTCAACTCCTCTTCTGACTAGCTATGCATCGTGGGTGAATTATTTCAGTTTTCCTCATCTACAAAATAGTCATCTCACTATCTCAGGAATATGTTGTGATGATTCAATGAAACGATGCGAAAGCAATCAGCTCAGTAAAGTCCAATGAATTATGATGCTACTAAATACAGGGACCAGAACAGACCTCAGGACCTAGGCTAGCACTTACCTATCCCATGTCAGTCTAGTCTTAATTTCAGAATGAAATACTAAATATCTCTATAGTAATACAACTGAAATTATTTCTTTAAAAAAATAGAGTTTCTGCCATAATAGATGGACCCTGATAGAAGGGGGGAACAATGCAGAACAGAACTCAAACTCTTAAAAAGTCCAAACTTACTGGACCAGTTTAGGACTCCTGAAACTATTGCCCTGAGATATTCTTTAAACCTTGAACCAAAACTATCCTGAGATCACCTTTTAGCAAAAAACATACAAAATAAAGGATATTACCAGTAAGCACGGTGTTCTACTAAAAAACCATCTATACGAGACTAAAAGGTCAACAATTACTCTACAGCAAGGATGAGAAGATAAGGGGGCAGGGAAACTAGAGCACTGGAAATGGAACCACCAGAATGCAATTAAAGACAATGTTGACACATGATGAAAAATGTAACTAATGTCACTGAACAATTTGTATAAAAATTGTCAAATTGGGACCTAATTTACAGTGTAAATTTTCACCAAAAACACAATAAAATATTATTTAAAAAAACTCAAGTTTTCTAAGCTTAGGGGGCAGTGAGTTTATGTTAATGAGGGAGGAATAAGTTGGAAAAGGACAGTGAGAATGGTTGTACAACTTGAAGAATGTAATCAATGTCAGTGTATTGTACATGAAAAAACTGTTGAATTGGTGTATGTTCTGCTGTACAAATTTTCAACAACAAAAAAATAAATTATTTAAAAAAAAATAGAGTTTCTGCTGAACACTGTGGCTCTGCAATATATTCCTGAACACAGCTGATCAATAGCATGGCTCAAGTATAGAAAGTAACAAAGTCACAATTTGAAGTTTTACAGAGGTGAACACTCTTCCAGACTCTTGGAGATTATAGGGCAGTAATAAAGGCCAATGAATTAATCAAAGTCTTCTTTAACCTGTGGTTGCTTCTATTTTAAATGGGTGATCTCTCCATTTTCAATCCATCCAGGGGAGAATCACCTGAAATCTCTTGGTACCTACTCCCTTTTTAACACTCTCTCTCTGCAGAGTCTATCGTGTCTTAGTTCCCACATACTTGTTTCTCTCTTGTGAGTAAACACAGAAAACTACAAAGCCCACAATGTGCCATCCCCTTCTTCAAGACAAGTCACTTCCTTAGCTGTTCCTTGTGAGTGCTATTTTATAACACCCTTGAAAGTTGCTCATTTTCGAATTTTTGGTCACAAGACCTTTTCAAAAGGAAGGTAATTCAAATCCCAATCTGCAAAGAGAGCAGAGCTGCTGGGACAGGAAAGAACCCCAAAGACCTGTGTCCAAGGGATCACCATGCCTCCTCGGATCCCTTCCCAGTTCTACCTGAGTGGCAGGAACGAGAAGTGTGACCATTAGCCCAGCAAAGTGCCCAACATCAAATGAGTGGATGATGGATGTGTCCCTTCTGTTTCTGGAATCCAGACTCACTGTGAGGGTTCCCACTCTCTCTACCACAATGAAATAACATAAGACGGGAACAGACTCAGCACTTAGCCGAGATCCTTCTGTTGGGAGTCCTTATAGATGCACTGACACTGGAGCTACAGAATGTTTTAGATGCTCTAGTTTGTGCCAAGAAAAAAGAAAAAAAGGAACCTAGTTTGGTCAAAGGGTTTCTATTTTTCATGAACTCCAATTTCTCACATCCTGATCAAGCAGAGTACAGCATCCCTAATTGCATCAGGACATTTTGATTTGTCTCCTCACCAAAATCAGAAGGTGACAGGTATCTTTTTTGTTGTTGTTGTTGCTAAATCTTTTTTTTTTTAATTGTTGTGCTTCAAGTGAAAGTTTACAATTCAAGTTAGTCTCTCATACAAAAATTTATACATACATTGTTTTGTGACCCTAATTGCTCTCCCTATTCCGTGACAGCACATTCCTCCTCTCCACCCCTGATTTCCCGTGTCCATTCAGCCAGCTCCTGACCCTCTCTGCCTTCTCATCTTGTATCCGGACGAGAGCTGCTCGTTTAATCTCATGTATCTACTTGAGCTAAGAAGCACACTCTTCACGAGTATCATTTTACGTCCCATAGTCCAGTCTAATCTTTGTCTGAAGAGTGGGCCTCGGGAATGGTTTTAGTTTTGGGCTGACAGAGAGCCTGGGGGCCACGTCTTCCAGGGTCCCTCCAGTCTCAATTAAACCATTAAGTCTGGTCTTTTTAGTAGAATTTGAGTTCTGCACCCCACTTTTCTCCTGCTCCATCAGGGACGCTCTGTTGTGTTCCCTGTCAGGAGAAGAAGACAGATACATCTTGACACCTGCAAGCTGAATGATGCTGAGCAAATTACAATCTTCTTTGTGCTTCCATTTCCTCCTTTACAAATGGGGATAGTAATAGTGCCCTCTCGCAGACCTACTGTAAGGACTAAGTGAGAGGGAGCCATCATTTGTTTGTGCCTGCCCCACAGTAAGGGTCAATACATGTGAGCTATTATCACTAGCAGCACCATCATCATCTTGGAAGACTGGAGAAAATGTGATATTTCTTTGATGAAGTAAGAAAATTATGGAAAGCTACAATGAAGATTGTAAAGTCTAAAATCAATGCTCCAAAAAGTGCTTTCAGCACAAACTGTACCACATCAGCAAGGACTCGAAGCAACTACCCCAAGTACTTCATCCCAAGTGAGTGAAGCAGTGTTTGCAAAGATATTGGGGGGAAAATGCCTTTCCATTGGAACGTAACGCTCAAGAATTAATGACTACACAGCAAAATTCTTGTAAAAAAAAAAATGTACTTTTGAGCTGCTGCTTTGAGGTCAGATGAACTAACAGTCTAACACTTTGATTCAAATGTTGGAGGAGGAAAAAAAAGCAGACTACAGCTTTCTATACACTCAGTTATCGTTCAATGTTTGGTAAACTGTCTGAAATCTCCGTAATTTATACCCAGAAGTAAACGGGCTGTGGTTTGCTTATTCCATCCCAGTTGTAACACACATTCCATCTATCAGTGCACATGCGCATACTCATGTACACAGCTCCATGAGAAAATGCTTAAAACATTTTTTTAAAAAATTTTAAAGAAAAGCTGAGTTCTATTTAAAAACAGCTGCCAACGCTCACACCAAATCCACACTCTTCAAATCTGTTTCCTTAAAATCGATTTTGATGAAAGAGAGAGAGGAAAAAAAAAAAAAAATCTTGGAGAACAAATCATTTTGAAATCCAAGCAGTAGTGGAGAGAAGACATTGTCTCTTTCCATTTAAATGCATGACTATAACACTGTCTAATAAAGATCTTATTTTCTACTTTCTTGCAAGTTCCCAGGGTCTTGTGTGTGCGTGTGTGCTTGCATGTGTGTGTGCGTGTGGGTGTGTGTGTGTGTGTGTGTGTGTTTTAAGGACCTGTCAATCCACTCCTACCTGAAGTCCTATGGCAGCATGTGTGAAAATAAGGAGACAGATAAGGCAGGTAACCTGAAATCCCACTGGGAAGGACCCGACCTTCCAGCGCACAGCCATCAGCCCGGCAGAGCCCAGCAGAGGCCAGCAGCCCCAGCGAAGGCCCACTGACCTTTTGATGACTTGTGACTGCGTCCCTGCTCCTCCCCAGCTCCTCGGCAAGTTTGACGTTCTCTTCCTGCAACGCTGAGAGCTGCTGGGACTTCTGTGCTGCCGCCTGCTTTAGGGTTTCTCTGCAAGGACAGTGAGTGCAGGGTTACCATAGAAACAAGACAGGCAAGGAAACTGTGGGAGACAACCAGCTTCACAGCACTGAGGAAAATACATCTGGGTCACGTGCCTGATAGGATCTATAATAACGGGAGACTGAGGAGGATCTGCCGGCCGGAGGGGCCAAACAGCGGCAACCTCTTGAAAGAAGGACTGCCACCCACAATTATTACATTTTTTAAAAAACCTAATAAACACTACACCTACACTCCTACCACCCACACTAACTGCCCTTACTCCCCATGCAGAAAGGAACTTCACACAAAGCAAACGACAAACGGTCAGCAAGCCCTCCTGTCTTTAGGGGTATTTCCATAATGACACTGAAACGTTGAGAAAGTTACTTAATTTGCTGCCAAGGCACTCTGGTCTAATTGCGCCGATCTGTAATCTGTTTTTTCTGACAAAAATAAAAATCCAATGGTCCCATATGCCAGTATCTGTCGGAGTCAAGTGGTGACATGAATCTGAGCATATTTTTAGGGCAACAAGAAGTGCCCACAGGAAATGCTGTTTTCTAATTATGTAACAGGTGTTTCACTTTTACCGGCTTCTCTCTCCCATGCTAATCGGTAATTAAAAGAAGCAAACAAGAATACAGCCTGCTAATATATTTAAGGAATGTCGGCATATAAAATGACCATGCAGTAGGTATATGTATTAAACATCTCCCCAATATTAAAATTAGTCCAAAATATGCATCCTAAATTACACATGGATGTTTAAGGTATTTTATTTGGTCACGGGATTTTAGTTTTATGCCACAGAAGGCTGTATGCAGTTATGCCTTTTAAGTGAGTCTGTGCTGGTTGAACCCCACTTAGTGAGCTGGCTCAGTGAGTTCTGAATCAAGTCATCCGGGTGGGACCATCTGCTGATGAGCGAGCACGTCTATTCTTAACTTCAATTGTCTAATGGGTGGCGGCGTTTGCCCGCTTTAGGTTTGTGGATAGTCATGCACCTATAATATACATACCAGCATGACCTCAGGAAGGTTTAGGGGAACAGAGCTCCTAAATCTAAATTCTCCTCACACACTAAATTAGGCTTTTTACAGAGATGTTTATTTAGCCAGTGAAGAAAAACTAAGAGGGAATTTTAGCCTCAGGTAATAGTCATTCAAAAACTGGGAGGCCTAATTTTAATTATGGATAAAACACACACACACACACACACACACACACACTCACACACTCACACACACACACACACTCACAAAATCTACCAGCCTCAGGTTACGTGTTTGAATTAGCTTGTCTTCCCAAAAAAGTTCACCTTCTGGCCAAAGGTCATCAATCCTCAACAAACCAGATCTTACTTAAGATGAAACCTCTGTTCTCAGACAACCATTTTATTTCCAGGTGGTCACTGCCCTTCCCTGGGGCTGTTCAGTCTCAGCATTTGTGTGGCCAGACAAAGTGATAAGTCTGTGCTCTTGTTTCCTCTCGCTTAAGTTTTCATCTTTTAAAATTTTGTACATCTTTGGTTTATATTAGAAGTCCACAGGAAAGAAAATTAAAATGAGGAGCCAAAGAAACAACCATGTTGAAAAGTATAAAAATGGATAAAATGTCCTAAGGTATTGATCTATAAAAACAATATTTGTTTAATGTTTAAAAACTTACAAAATGCTTTCATGTGTATTTTCTCATTTAAGCCTCATCACAGCCCAGGGAGGAGCCCTGGTGGTACAGTGGTTAAGAGCACAGCTGCTAACCAAAAGGTCAACAGTTCAAATCCACCAGCCGCTCCTTGGAAACCTTATGGGGCAGCTCTACTCTGTCCTATAGGGTCACTGTGAGTCGGAAGTCACTTGAGAGCACCTAACAACACTACCACCACAGCCTAGGAAGGCTAAGGCTAACATTATTATTTACATTTGAAAAGATGAAAAGACTGAAGCTCAGGGAAGGGTAAGACTTGCCCCTAACCAGAGAATTGGGGTTACAACTGGCAGATGGGCCTCAGCTGTGACTCATAAATCTAAGAACACCTTTCCGTTTTTCTCTAGTGGGTGGGTAGTGGGTACACACATTTCATAGAGGAATGAGGCTCTAACAGCCGAATTTCTGGAATATTCTAAGGAATAATTCTGAAAATACCTACAGAAAATATTTCTAACCATTTTTAAAACTACTTTTCTTTCTATATGACAAGTTATCTTGAAACAGAATAGAAGAATCTGTCAGTTTTAAAACTGTGAGGCAAAATAAATATTGTTAATACTGATTTCCAAACATTCTACTTGTCCATCCGTCCAAAGTCTCTTCATTACCATGCTAAATATATTCTAGATTTATTACTGTGCCAGGTGAGCAATTAAAGACAAAAATTAGATAGCTTATACCATTTTCCCTAAGATCCAAAATTGTACCCCAGAGAGAAACCATTTTATTTTCTCTAACTGAAAACAGGAGCTCATTAACAAAAATCAAGCATTTTCCTAAAACCAGTCTAGTAAGCAGTACAGAGGAACATCTAGTTACCAGGGACCGGTGTCCAGTACCGTATTCTGTAGGAGGTGGTTCCTATCAGAAGTCGTATGTCTACACAGGTGACACTCTCCTCCAAGAACCTCAGTCCTGGCCGGTGAGAATACTAAGAAAGCCTGGAGGATGCAAAGAACCTCACAGACAGAAAAACCAAACATCTGCTCATTCTCTGGCTTTGAGGACTGAGGAACAGCAAAATGACTTTCTTGTTTGTTGAGTTTTTCTTTTGTTTGTTTTTTGAGAAGCACTGCTCCTTTTATGTCAGATGGTCATCACAACCTGACCAAGTCTAAAGCTCATGGGTGCAGGAGCTTTTTAAACCCACAGCTCTGCACTCCTTCCCCGCGGCACTCCCCTCTCTCTCCCCACCTGCTTCTGATACTTGCTACCACTGTGTCTCCAAGTGTGCCTCCTTCCTGCTGAGAATCCTGCCAGACTACGGTGGGTCAAGGTGGTGGGCAGAAAAACAGTAGAGAATCCAAAGTAGCCTGTCCTCTGTCTGCTCTGTGGTCTGTTTCTCCTCACCAAGCGAGCGACTTCCCTCATGGATCAGAGGACATGGAAGACGGCAGGCCAAGCAAAAGCAACAGCAGCTGGCGTCAAAATCTCCTGCTCTCAATCCTCTGCTTCCATGGGCACGAAACTAACATTTTATTATTTATACTGATTTCCAGACATTCTACTTGTCAATCCATCCTAAGTCTACTAATCTGTGGTTGTTGCTAGGTGCTGTCAAGTCAGTTCCGACTCACAGCGACCCTGCGTACAACAGAACAAAACACTGCCCAGGCCTGTACCATCCTCACAATTGTTGCTATGTTTGAGCCCGTCATTGCAGCCACTGTGTCAATTCATCTCGTTGAGGGTCATCCTCTCTTTCGCTGACCCTCTACTTTATCAACCATGATGTCCTCCAGGGACTGGTCCCTCCTGGTAACATATCCAAAGCACATGAGATGAAGTCTTGCCATCCTTGCTTCTAAGGAGCATTCTGCCTGTACTTTTTCCAAGACTGATCTGATCATTCTTCTGGCAGCCCATGGTATATTCAATGTTCTCTGCCAACACCACAGTTGAAAGGCATCAATTCTTCTTTGGTCTTCCTGATTAGATGTCCAGCTTTTGCGTGCAGATGAGACAACTGAAATACCATGACTTGGGTCGGTCGATTAATTAGCATATGCTGAATATAATGTTATGGAACAAGTCAAAGAAGGGGGGACAAAAATAATTTGTTTTTTAATAGAGGTGAAAACAATCCCACACTAATTAGGGCAGGCGATTAACTTCAGAAGGATTTAGTGAGGATGTTGAACATTAAAGGGTGACCCCACTTAATTAAACACTAGACTGGTACAATGACCACTAGAAAAGACTTCTAGCTTACCAGGGGCTGGGGAGAGAAGGGCACGGGGAGGTATTGCTTAATGAGTACAGAATTTGTTAGGGGTTATGAAAAAGTTTTAGAAGTTAGAGTGTGGTGAAGGTTGCACAGCACAGTAAATGTCATTAATGCCAGTGAACACTTAAAAATGGCTAAAATGGCAAAACGGATATTATATACATTTTACCACAATAAAATAAAATTTTTTTAAAAGACTTCTAAGTAGTACTGCAGGAAAGGGGAGTTTTATACCTACTTCCCAAGAGCCCTCCTGACTAGCACCACTGTGGCCTGGCCCCTTCCATTACCTAGTACGGCCCCAAGAGCTCAGAGGTGGGATTATGGCTGTGGGAGGTTGGCGGGGCAGCTGCCGCACGCTGCTCAGGTCCTCCCTCACGGGCCGCCTGTGTGACACAAATGAACTACAGTCACCCGTGAGCTCCAGAACGCTCCAAGTTACCACAACCACTCGAGTCACGGCGGAACGCTCCTAACCTGTAAGTGCACCTGCCCTCTCTGAATGTAACTCAACGGATACTTGCTTGGTTTTCCCTCACAGTGACCCGATACCTATTTGTGATATTTGGCTGTGGCAGGCAAAGAGCTTTAAGCACCTCCTGACGGCCATCATCACAATTATATAAATCTCTGTAAATCGGATTCCTGGGAACTGGTTAAATCTAATCTAAACCCGTTCCTGTCCAGTCGATTTGGACTCCTAGCAACCCGATAGGACACAGTAGAACTGCCCCATAGTGTTTCTAAAGCTGTAATCTTTATGGAAGCAGACTGCAGCATCTTTTTCCTGCAGAGCTTTTGGTTAGCAGAAGGGCGCTTTAACCACAGTGCCACCAGGACTTCTTAAACCTAATCTAGAGACGTATCATTCAAACCAAGACTGAAGGGATCAATCATCAATACCACGAGCTGTGCACCTCCTCAGGTGAGGAGCCCAGATACCACATTATTTCTAGGAGGGTCTTAAGAGCAAACCCTCAGAAGAACTAGACAAACACTCGTTTAATCTCAGCTCGATGAACAAGAGCATTGAGGATTGCTATTTAACAACAGCAGTTTGGAACTGATGCTTTTGTTTTTTGTTTTTAATTTGATTGCGTTTGAGGTGAAAGTTCACAGCACAAATTAGTTTCTTATTCAAAAATTTATACGCAAATTGTTTTGTGACATTGGTTGCAATCCCTGCAATGTGTCAGCACTCTCCCCCTTTCCCTTTCCACCCTGGGTTCCCCGTGTCCATTCGTCCAGGTTCCCTGTCCCTTCCTGCCTTCTCGTCTTTGCTTTTGGGCAGGTGTTGCCCATTTGGTCTCGTATACTTGACTGAACTAAAAAGCACGTTCCTCACCTGTGTTATTGTTTGTCTTATAATAGGCCTGTCTAATCTTTGGCTGAAAGGTGGACTTCAGGAGTGGCTTCAGTTCTGAGTTAGCAGGGTGTCCTGGGCCATAGTTTCAGGGGTTCCTCCAGTCTCTGTCAGACCAGTAAGTCTGGTCTTCTTTTGTGTGAATTTGAATTTTGTTCTACATTTTTCTCCTGCTCTGTCCGGAACCCTCAATTGTGATCCCTGTCAGAGTCGTTGCTGGTGGTAGCTGGGCACCATCTACTCCTTCTAGGTGATGCTTTTGTCTTCGTCTGAATCTCATCCATTTGTTTTATTAGAACTGGAGATAAATGATAGAAACCCTTGGAGGGTAGGACCACATGTAATTCATCTTTGTGTTCTTCCTAGCTTAACTGTGCTTCGCACAAAGGACATACTCTACAATAACCGGATTAACTGACTTTTAAATTTTTAATATCACACAATTGATAATGTAGTTATCAGAAAAGAAGAGCAAGATGAAATCTACAGGGTCACCATCACTTAACCTGTCAGATAAATGCCAATCTCCAACTACCACAATCATCAAACCTGAATGGCAAGGACCAAGTGGAGTATTCCACAAAGGAACTGTGAACCATCAATCTGCCCAAAATCTGGTAGCAGACTGATGTGTAAACCTTAGTTATAAAGAGTCTTGCAAAATCCTGCCCACTTAATGTCCATGCCAGAAGATGATTACTCTTAAAATCAAGATTACTGATAACCCTGAAAGTGACTTGATGCCTTTTTTTTTTTTTTAAAGATAGAATTTTAAGGGATTTATTAATAAAGAGTCTGATGATTCCAAACGTTAAGACTGGTTATCTTGTAAACACAGTATTTTAAAACTCTGATTCTACTCATATTTTCATAAGACTTTACAAAGTCATTTGAATCCCAAATGTTATGACTCACTGGCTTCCATCACGTTCATCCCAATCCCTTACCTTAGCTGTAGTTCTGACCTAACAGTGGTTATAGTGGTTACTTCTGGGGTATGCAACGGAGCTTGGGGTACAGGGGAGGAGGGTGACAATTACTTTTTACTTTATATGCTTTTCCAGGATTCTTTTAAATAATTAGTGTTGTTTTTTTTCACTTTTGCAATTTAAAGAAAGTGCCATGATTTCCCTCAAAGGAGATAAACTTACATTTCTTTCCTGAATTCTTCCATTTTCTGATTCTCTACGGTCAGAAGTTCTTTTGATTTGTTCAGCTCTTCCACATTTTTCAAGTTGTTTTCTTTAAGTGTATCCAACTTAAAGACCAAGAGAAAAAAACTTCATGAAATGATTTCATTTTCCAATGACATGTCTGGATAGACAAACTACTCATGAAAACTTGAAGCAAAAAGACATCTGAGATTAGTCACTTGCAAAAAGCAAAAGGGAATCACCTGGGTGAAGAGATTAAAATGACCAAATCTATTATAAGCAGCAAATCTCCTCCTTAGATTTAGTCAGACATTTCCTGTACTTGGCCAATATGTCAAATTAAATTGCTACATAAATTAAAACCAAAGTGTCACTTCACCTTGTGTACAGGTCTCGGTTTTTTGCCTGTCATTGTAATTGCTATTCAAGTACAATTCATCTTAAAAATAAATAAATAAATAAATAAAGCATGAAATGAAACGCAAAGGCTTGACATCAGCAAAGATTATTCTTTGTAATGAAACAAAATTTCTTTCCTTCCCCATAGATTATTCATTTAGGACAGGACATTTTTCAATGTCAGTATCAAACTGACATAGTCTTCAATAAAGAAATTATTCCTTTGGCTCAAAAATATTTGCAGATGGGAAAAGACTGAGTGATCCGTGGAAAGGACAAAAAGCCACAAGGTGAGACTGACAGGCACTCACACACACTCAGGCCCACCATCTGCCCACAGGGGATGCAGACAGCTCAGGGCCCGGCCCCTGGTGGAAAAGCCAGACATGCTACTGGAACAAGTAGGGGTGTGACTGCCCACACGTCCCGGCAGGTGGCTGGCTTCCGGGTGCGGAGCCCCACCCAGGATGAGGGGTTCGTTATGGACCTTCCACTACAGAACGCGCTCCCGGGGAATGCTGGCTTCTGGGCCTGTGGAGTTGTCTCCTGCAGCCAGAGAAACTCTTGCCATGTCACAGACCACGCTCAGGACTCCCAGAGGGTGTCTTCCTCATTCTACTACCACCGCCTTCCTTTTAAGGCCTTCTAACATTCCAGAATCACAGAACAAAGAAAACGAAATATCATAATGGGTCCAAAAAAATGACTCATCCAGCCTTGTGTTTTGGCTACAATGAAGATACCAAGGGGCCTGCTATGGAAAGACACAATTCTCCCTGATTCCATCCTCAAAGGTCAGGGACATGCCCCAAAATATTCTCATTTATTTAGCTTCTAATTTTATTATCATCTATGATTTTTTTAAATGTTTTTATATTTTTAGTTTAAGTCTTTGGATTGTCAGTTCTATAAATGGACTCCCTTCTGTATTGTTTTGTTTATTTGCCCTATAATTATCTCAAAATAGTCATGTCTTTACAGAATACAGTCTCTGACCTCCCTTAATGAGAAGGTCTAGTCTTTAACAGCAGCTATTCAGTTTGGCCACCATCTCCCTGCTTTAACTCCTTAGGGTCTCATCTGCCTGTCACTTAGAAAAGCATCTGTAGTTCTGTAGAACTTCACAGAAGTATTCCAGGGACTCAATATGCTTAGGATTTAGGTAATAGCTTTCCAGTTAAAGAAAGGGTTAGTATGAGTTGGGAGGGTGGGAGCAGAGGGATCAAAGACAGGCAGAAGAATGAGAAATGCCACTTGTGGACAGAATCAAATATACTGATGCCACAAATTCGCCCCAGCCCCAGGAATGACTAATTCGAGATGACACAAAAGGGAATCCATTTTGGATTAGGCCAAGAAAAGGCCCACATTAAACTCAGAGCTGAGGCATGGGATTTAGGGGTTCAAAGCTGGAGAGAAGTTGAGGAAAAAAATATGTGATTCAAGATAAAGGATACAAAAACTAGAGAATACCACCAGGACCTTGTCTCATTAGCTCTATCATGGAGCAGTTATCCTAGGAAGCCACACTATTGGAGATTTACCCTCAATGTTTTAAGGTTGATCCTACTAAATAAGTAATGAAGTAATGGACTTTATTAGATATTACCATGGCTCCAGTGTACATTCATTTCCACTAACATACGTCAAACCTGTGTAAGGCCACACTTCAAAACATAGTTAGTGATCAAATACTTCCGTGAAGTCGGTAAGCTGTTCTTTGCACAAAAAGCCATTCAAATCTGATTACTTCATTCTGGAGTTTTTCATTTGTTTGCCTGGTATCTTCCAAGGAGGCCAGGGTTTCGGTCTTCTCTTTGGTCATCTGTTGCATGATCTGCATGGCATCTTCTGCGGTCTGGGCGGCCTAAACACAGAAGGCACTATGAGAAACAAGGACACCCCTCGCCAACACCGCTAGGGGATGGTCAGGCTGTGCTCTCATTCACTGTCTATGTGGTTAAGGGAGTCCCCAGAATGTGAGGCAGGCTCCAATCCAAGGCTAAAACAAACAGCCCAAGACATGGAAGGTCTTTACTTCGAAGGAGAACAAAGTTACAGGCCCTTCCCATGCCATTTTTCCATCAGTCAATTGTCATCTGAGAGTTGTGTATTTTCAGACCTCCCTAAACCTACTGATTCCAAGTTATACTGAGAGTTATGCTCACCTCTTTAACTTCTGTCTGCAAAAAATGTCCAGTGATAATAAAGAGTAGCCTCTATATAGCTGAACTTTCCCCTAATCTGCTTCTAACAATATTAATTGTTGTAAACTTAAAACACTATTTTAAATATTTCAAATGTGAGGCTTTTTGAAACCTCTCAGAATTTAGGCTGGGAATTTTTCAACTGAAAATTATTTGGGCAATGATAACAAAAGACTCAAGCATTTAATGAGAAGTACAGAAGGGAAAAATCTATGTGAGAGGCTGTGGGTAATGAATATAAACACGGCTGTGAATAAAAACAGATAATAGCATATGGAGGCGGAGCTTGAGCCGCTAGGTATCAAAAATAATAATAAAAATAAATTGAAATCTTTTTAGGCACTTGCTTACGATTTCATTTGGTCTAATAAAGTTTATGGGAATTCTGCATTATATCCTCTCTATTATCAGCCATGGAGATTTCATGGGAATCTTCCAACTCCAAATGGATAAACATAGTAAAAGCCAAATAAAAAATATTATTTCAACATGTGCCCATTTTACTGTTGCTCGTAAGCCTTTCAGAACTACAGTTACTCTTCTACAAAAAGTTTTTCTTCAATTAAAATATGTCTTTTTTATTCACAGTTTAAAATGTTTTCAAATAGGTAGGGACTACTGCAATTAGACATTTAGTAAAGAACCGCCCTTTCATATTGTAATAAACAGCTTGACATATAGAAGCAACTGACTTGATGGGGTGGATTTACGTATGTGGAAATGAAGAAACATCCCCTAAGCCACTACAGTTAGTGCCCAGTGTTAGTAGTACCAGGTGCTCGATACTTGAATCTCTCACTTTACCGTAAATGTCTGAAGAGTCTCGAGCTCTCTGATTTTAAGAGTAAGCTTGCTCTTGTCTTTCCTCAAAGTACGGTTTTCGTTTTGAGATTCCAGGAGGTTGGCTGAAATATGGCTGTTGGTTTTGGCCAACTGGCTAATCTCTTTCTGGAGGATGAAGTAGCTCTCTGCCAGCTTCTCCTTCTCCTTCAGGAGCTCGTCCTTCTCCAGCATCATTTCTCTCTTCTCGGTCAGGAGGTCCTTATTGTCCTGCACCACCTTAGCTTGCTCAGCCAAGGTCACCTCATGGTTCAGGCGGAGGTCTTCCAGGATCTTGGTGAGGCAGCTGTGCAGTTCCTGCAACTCTAACTTGGATTTGGACAAGGTGGCAAAATCGCTTTTCAGAGTCTCGATGTTGGTGGCAAGCTGAGCTGTTTCTGCACGCAAGAGTTCCTTTTCCTTAATTATCTCTGCGACTTTTTGCTCTGATTTGGTCTTCTCTTGGATTAGCACAAACTTCTCAGACTGGAGCTCCTTAGTACACGCCGTTAGCTCTTGCACCTCCTGCTCCAGCAGCACAATTCTCCCATGGAGCTTATTGTTTTCATACAGGGATGACTCCTTTTCTTTTGCTCTAGCTTCTTTCTCAAGGAGCAAGGACTGCTGCACTGCACGGATGTCCTCATTTAATTTCTGACATTCTTCTTGCAGATTCAGCCCATCCCTCAGCAAAATGTTATTTTCAGAACAACAAGTCTTAAGTTCAACATCCAAACTCTCCTTGGCCTGCAATATGCTAGTGTGTTCTTTTTCTAGATTCTTTCTGGCATTTTGAGCTTCTTGCAGCATCAAAGAGAGATCACACTTGCTGGCCACTAGTTCTTGGTTTTCCTTTTTTCTTTCTTGAAGCTCTTTCTTCAGGGCATCCAGACTACCGAGTAGTTTCATCTTCTCATGTATGATTATTCTTCTGTTCGTGGACTCTTGATCATACTTCCTTTTAAGTTCTCCGATGGCTTTGATGGAATTTTCTCTCTCTGCAAGTAAATCTCCATTTTGCATTTCCAGTGTGGATTTTTCTCTCAAGAGACTCTCCTGCTGCTTTTTGAGCTTATTAATTTTCTGACAAGCCATCTCCTTCTCAGAAGTTAGGTACGTGATCTTCTCGCTCAGGCTCATCTCGATATGGACAGCCTCTTTTGAGCATTTGTTGAGTTTTTCTGTGAGGATCTTATTTTCACTTAAAAGCTCTTCTTTTTCAGCCAAGAGCCTTCTCTCGGATGAGGCCAGGGTTTCTTTCTCGTGCAGAAGCTGGATGCACTCAGAGTCTGTGATCTCCCGGCTGGTCTTAATTTCTTCCAGGAGCTTTGCGAGACTCGTGTTCGTGGCCTGAAGTTGCAGGGTCTCCAGCTCGGTCTTTCTCAGAGCTTTGCCGGCGTCGTCCAACCGTGTGTGTAGCTCTCTGGCCTCTGTGCTGAGCTGCTGTTTGGCCTGGAGGGTGGCCTCCAGGTTGGCGTTCAGCTTTTCCTGACCTTGAAGCAGTGAGTCCTTCTCAAACTGCAGATCTTTGTTGTTCTGAAGGAGATTATTTCTTTCTATCTTTAAGGCCAGGCACATGGTATCAAGACTACACTGTTTCTCTAAAGCTGACTTTTTCTCAGTTGTAAGATCTTCAATCTCTTGTACCAAGGCTTTCTGGTCTTTGACGAGCTCCTCATAAGAGCTCTGAAGCTTCTGAATAATTTCGTCCTTATCTTTAGCCAAGAGAAGGTTCTCAGTGGCAAGCCTCTTGATCTGATCCTCCATGTGCTTTTTCTCTTCCCGGTCCTTCTCAGATACAGCAATCAAAGTTTCTTGGCTGAATTGAAGCTCTTCTATGAGTCCCTGCATGCTCATCTTGGAAGCATGCAAAGAGTCATTTTCCATATTTATCTTCAAGAGTTCTTCCTGTGCAAGATTGATTTCTTCAAGCAATTTCTCTCTTTCAACAGCCAGAGCTTCTTTATTGAGATGTTCCTCCTGATAAAGCTTCTCAGCATCTTGCTTTTCTTCTAAGGCTCTCTCCTTTTCTAAATTAAGAGTTTCATTTACTGACCACAGTTTCTGCTGGTCTTCCTGAAGCAAAGTTATTCTGGCCTCCACCTCTACAAGCTTTGATAAAAGTGAACCTTTCTCTAACTTTAAAGCATTTCCCTCCTGTGCAAGAAGCTGCTTCTCTGATTTCAGACCCCTCAGCTCTTCTGACATTAGTTCAATCTCTTTTTTGGCTGATGTTAACAAATAGGTTAGCGACTACAGAAACAAAAGATGGAAAGAATGGAAACAAAAATGAAATCAAGCAGACAAATGCAAGCCCAAATAACTTAATGCAACCTAAATCATAAAAGGTTAATTTTTTTTTTTTTAACAATAAGCATCATCGAAACTATTTTGCTAACTAGGGGAAGAACGGAACCCATAAAAGGATAATACAAAGTAAGGTCATCTTTGCAAAGTGCATATTTATCTGCTAGCTTACTGTGTCTTCAAGACAACTTGTAAAATTATTCCTGATAGCTAGCGGTATTAGATAAAAACAGTAGATTGATTCTGACATAAAGTCATAAGATTCTTTACCGCCATTCTCATTATTTCTAGCATAGAAATGATTCATAGAATAATTACTTTTTAAAACACAATTCAAACAACTACAAAAAGTGAGGATTTTTTTTTAACCAAAAATAGGGGCAAGGGAGAAGAAACAGTTGCTTTTACAAATTAACTGCAGGATCTTACTTACTAACAAGAACTACTGCCCTGAGAATGATTGAGTCTCAATAGTATACATAACTTATTAAAAGTGCAGTCTAATTCGCTAGGCTTTGGTAGCTAAAATGAACGGACTTTAACAAACATACTGATTTATAAAATGATCTGACCATTATGTCTAACTTTTGTCCAATACGGGAGCAACCAGCCACATGTGACTTGAAATGTGGCTAGTGCAACTGAGGAAATGTATTTGTGCTTTTATTAAATTTTAACTAACTTACAGTTAACTAATTTAAGTGTGAACGGCCACACGTGGTTAGTGACTACTGCATCGGACAGCACAGCTACGGACCCTTGGCTATTAAACTAGGGAACATGGAGGCTTTGTGGGACCCAAGAACCTCCTGAAGCTGGAGACTGTGGGGTGCACATGTAACTTTTCTGGGGAAAATATCCATAGCTTTCATCAGATTCTCAAGAGTCTGGGAGCCAGTGTTGTTGACAAACTGAGATCCACTGAAATCCAGACATCTCTGGGGGGAGCACAATCCTGGTCATTTCAGCCAATGACCCTTGTAAAAAAAAACCAACAAACAAAATTAATGCAATCTTCCACAAACTACTAGAATGCTATGGTGTGGTCAGGCTGACACATTTTATGGGAAACACTGAAAAATAGGAGTCTGTCCAGACAAAGGACCTGAAAGCAAAAGTTTGCCTGGAAATGATATCTCATGTTGAATGGCTCAGAAAACTGGAAGGGTTTTACATGGAGAAGAGAAAGTTTTGATGGTCAGCATGTGGAAAAGGGAAAATGTAGGCATCTTTTATATACAAGATGAGAAGCAGATTTCAACTGGGTGCAATGAAAATATTTTTACAAATTAAAGCTTTCCAAAAGTGGATCCTGTTACTAAATGAGGTCATGAGATCCCCTACAGGGGGCTGAAGCAGAGGCTTCAAGGACATGGTTCTAAAAGTGTTATAAAAGCAATTCCTAAATTTGGTAGGATAACTTTTAAGGAGCTCTGGTGGCACAATGGTTAAGCACGAGGCTGCTAACCCCGAAACGTCAGTAGTTTAAACCCTGGCTCCATGGGAGAGAAGACCTGGCGATCTGCTCCCATAAAGATCACAGACAGAAAATCCTATGTTGTTGTTGTTGGGTGCCACAGAGTCAGTTCTAACCCACAGCAACCCTGTCTACAACGGAACGAAACACTGCCTGGTCCTGTGCCATCCTCACGATCGTTGTTATGCTTGAGCCCACTGATGAAGCCACTGTGTCAATTTATCTTGTTGAGGGTATTCCTCTTTTCCATTGACCCTCTACTGGGCATGATGTCCTTCTCCAGGGACTGATCCCTCCTGATAACATGTCCAAAGTATGTGAAATGTAGTCTTGCCATCCTTCTTCTAAGGAACATTCTGGTTGTACTTCTTCCAAGACAGATTTGTTTGTTCTTTTGGCAGTCCATGGTTTATTCAATATTCTTCACCAACACCACAATTCGAAGGCGTCAATTCTTCAGTCTTCCTTATTCACTGTCCAGTTTTCACATGCATATGAGGCGACTGAAAACACCATGACTTGGGTCAGGCGCACCTTAGTCTTCAAGGTGACATCTTTGCTTTTCAACACTTTAAGGAAGTCTTCTGCAGCAGATTTGCTCAATGCAATGCGTCTTTTGATTTCTTGACTGCTGCTTCCATGGTGTTGATAGTGGATCCAAGTGAAATAAAATCCTTGACAACTTCAATCTTTTCTCTGTTTATCACGATGTTGCTTATTGGTCCAGTTGTGAGGATTTTTGTTTTCTTTACCTTGAAGTGTAATCCATACTGAAGACTGTGGTCTTTGATCTTCATCAGTAAGTGCTTCAAGTCCCCTTCACTTTCGACAAGCAAGATTGTGTCATTTGCATTCTGCAGGCTGTTAATGAGTCTTCCTCCAATCTTGATGCCCCGTTCTTCTTCATATAGTCCAGTTTCTTGGATTATCTGCTCAGCATACAGATTGAATAGGTATGGTAAAAGGATACAACCCTGATACACACCTTTCCTGACTTTAAACCACGCAGCATCCCCTTGTTCTGTTTGAATGACTGCCTCCTAATCTATGTACAGGTTCCTCATGAGCACAATTAAGTGTTCTAGAATTCCCATCCATAATTTGTTATGATCCACACAGTCAAATGCCTTTGCACAGTCAACAAAACACTGGTAAACATCTTTCTGGTATTCTCTGCTTTCAGCCAGGATCCATCTGACGTCAGCAATGATATCCCTGGTTCCATGTCCTCTTCTGAAAACCCTATAGGGCAGTTTTAGACTGTCATACAGGATTATTATGAGTCAGAATCGACTCCATGGCACACAACAAGATCACTTTTAATTGCTAAGATTTTTTGCTTTGAAAGCAAGGAGGAAAATGGGAAATTACTGCTGTTCATTAAGGTTTTTCCATTATACTCCTGATATTACATAGTTGTAACCCTGGTGGCATAGTGGTTAAGAGCTACAGCTGCTAACCAAAAAGTCAGCAGTTCAAATCCACCAGGTGCTCCCTGGAAACCCTATGGGGCACTTCTACTCTGTCCTGTAGGGTTGCTATGAGTTGGAATCAACTCGACAGCAATGGGTTTGTTTTTGTTTTTTTTTTTTTACTAAGTAGGTAATAAAATTTACTGGCATAAAATATGAAGGAATAAAATGTCTATATATGAGTTATATGGGATTGACAAAAATAAAAATTTTAGAACAAACTTTGAAATTTTAATAAGTTAGCTAAGAACAATAACCCATAATGGGCCACGCTAAGTATATTTTAAGGTTTCCATCTGAAATGCATTTCAAAATGTACCCACTCCTCACTTATTGACATGGTTAGGTTCCAAAGACCAGGTCGTTACGTGAAAATCAGCATTATGTGAAAGTGGAGGATGACCACATCAGATCACAAAATATTATGTGGATACATATGTCCTTTTGGACCCAAGAGGAGGAAAATGTAGGTGGGTGCTATATGCTCCACTGGTCATGAAAGGGTTACTGCCAGACATACATCGTTAATGTGCAAAAATAGTCAGTAGATTTTTTACTATTGTCATAAATGAAATGTTGGATAATAAGACAGTCGATAAGTGAGGAGCAGGGGTAAGAAGAAACCTAATTAACAAGGGTTAACGTTTATGTTTAGTGGTCTAATGGACCAGTCAATCTTCATCAAAATCAGAATGTTCTAACTACGTTAAAACTTTCAAGACCTCTCTGAAAAGGCCCTGTTTGACCACCCCAACACCACTTCCTCAGGCCAGGATACGTGCACCTCCTACTTCCATAGTGCCTTCTGTTTAACCCACTGGAACAACTGTTTACTGGCCAGACTGTCCCTCTGGACTGTAAGCTCCCTGAAGGCAAGAACTGTATCCTGTGCACTGTCATCTCCCCAGAGCCCAGCACGATGTAGGCACGGAGTAGATCATTGTTGTTAGCTGCCACAGAGTCGGCCCCCAACTCATGGTTACCCCACACATTACAGAGTAGAATGGAGTTCTGTAGGTTTTCTTGGCTGTTATCTTTATGGAAGCAGTTCACCAGGTCTTTCTTCTGCAGAGAGGTTGGATGGGTTCAGATTGCTAACCTTCAGGTTAGCAGCCAATCATAAACCACTCAGAGGTCGGCAAATTATGGCCAGCCTGCCTCTTTTTTTTAAAATAAAGTTTTAATGGAACACGGCCACACACTTTCATTTACATATTGTCTATGGCTGCTTTCATAGTACAATAACAGAGTTGAGCAGTTGTGACAGAGACCGTACGGCTTGCAAAGCCTAAAATACTTACGATCTAGAAGAAATCTGCTGAACTCTGGAGTAAATTCAGAGTATTATTCAGATAATAAATATCATAAATAAAGAATCTATTCATCAGCTGACATTGAAGGACATGAGCCAGTTCACACATTACAGCTACTCTCGTGTGTGTGTGTGTGTGTGTGTGTGTGTGTGTGTGTGTGTGTGTCATAGTCCACTTAACAGGAGGTTTTCGATGGGATTTGTTTCAAGTCCTACATAAGCTCTTTTATATTTTCTTTCTATTAAACTCCTATATCAACTTTTCTCTAACCCATAAAAATAATTAAAGACAAGGATTTACTTTTCTTTGAGCAGGAAAAAGTTAAATTGTAGCAGGAAGGCTGAACCTCATCCAGTCACCAGAGTCAAAATGCATACTGGGGCACAGATACAATCATGACACCATAAAATGAAATTCAGTGATTAACATTTAACAAGGGTTAACATTTTTGATTTAGTAATAGGTGGCTTCCTCACCGCCCTCAAACCCAGCTGCCTTGTCAATAAGCTCACAGTACCCTCCTGGGAACACAGAAAAGCCCCTTCTAGAGTAATCTAATTCTTCCTATGAGAGCTCTGCTCTCCCAGCTAGGCTCCCTCCCCAGTTCTCGGTTCCCTGCTCACTGGCTTCGCTTGGCTGTCTCCAGCGTGCCTGTCTGCAACACGTCTCTCCTAACCCTCGTGCAGGGCAGCAGCAGTGATGGCCAGGACGAGAGGAGAGTGCTTCCCCACACGATAGAGCCTATCGCAAGCAGGCAGAGAGAGCTCAGCAATGGAAGGGTCTCTGTGGCAGCTGGGAAACAAGCAGCAGAGGGGGTGATGGGTACATGGCACATTCCAGGGGAAGGCCTGTAACCATCACCAGCCCTGGGAAGGACTGGCAGTTTGGACAAAACACTTGAAGCAGTAGGAAAGGTAATTCACCATGCTGTTAGGCACTCAAAGGGTTAACATTTTTAAAGGCCAGTCTCACCCATCCCCTTTGCTGATATTTTCCAAGCCCCTTTACAGCCTTGGTGCAGAGCCAGGGTGAGCGGGAAGGCAATAATGCAATGACCGCCCCCCCACAACATACTTTGGCTTTGTCGGCTTGTTTTCTCAGTTCCTCCATCTCCCGCAACAAGTCACCGTTCTCCTCCTGAGCAGCCTTCAGCTTCTGCTCCGTAGCCAGCAGCATCTTCTGTAGGCCCTGCAGGACTTCTTCGTGCTTTGTTTTTGTCTCAGAACTGGCTTGTTCGTACCTGGCCTTCAAGTCCTGACACTGGTTGTGGCTCACTTCCATCCTCTTTTCCTGCAGAAAGCCCACACGAAGGAAAAGGAGGAGTCATCTAGCACGCTTGTACAGCCCCCTCCTTCCCTGCCAGCTAACAGTCCCATTCATTCTTTCCTTACCAGGTCCAGCAATTTTTTCTGCAATTCCTTCTTTTCTTCTTCATGCGTTTTAGCTGCTTCTTGCTGGCTCTGTTCAGCTTTGAGAGTTATCTCCCCAATAGTTCTCTGTAGAACGCTCGCATTATCGTTTGCCTTTGTAAGTCTTTGCTGTAATTCTTCTGCGTATCTAGAATAGGTTTCAATACAAGGTGTCAAATTTTTCCTAAGCATGCTTTAACTTCTTGAGTTATACTTTAAAAATATGCTATAAATAGTAATTATACTAATGATTATAAAAGTTATGAGTAATTAATAACATCTGAAATAGTCAAATAAATAAATATGACTTGCCCTGAATAATAATTTTAATGATTTTCATTAGTTATAAATACAATATTTAGAATAACCACTGTAATTATGAAAGTTTATTATTTTGCATCAATAGATCAATAAGGAAAGAATTAGTGAAAAGGTTAGTACATTAAAGGAAATGATTCTTTAGAAAGTTTCAAATTGTAGCAGACCAGATTATCAAAAGTCATTCTAGTGCTTTCTGAGAACCAAAGACCTAAAAATGACAATAAATAATGTGAAGTTCTACTTAAAGATAACCAAGAGGTCAACAGAGATGTTCAGAGAACATGGAACAGCCATCCAGAGAATGGGCTATTAAATGAATCGGGCGGTGAATGCAGGAGGGAAATTTGAGTGGTACCTCTGGGTTCTACACCTACCAAAATGGAAAGGCCCTCTGCCACAGCCACCTGTGTAGATGCACCTGCCTCCTGGCTAGTCTGAACAAAGTCGGCCAACCAAGGTCTGGTCACCCGTCATCACCCACGGGTTCCGAATTGTGTGTGGGTTGAATATAACTCTGCCAGTAGCAACACTTTAAGAATCAGAATTCTAATGGTCCTAAAATGTCCTCTGAACGGTTCTGCCTTACAAAATAAAACATTTGTTTTTTTTTTTTTTTTAATAGAACAACTACTTAAAGAAAACAAAGCAAAGGGAACCTCGGAACAAAGACTAGAACAGGTGTTAAGATTCAAGACGCTTTAGCGTTGAGGAAGTACCACGCAGGGATTCAGTGTAGCAAGAGCTTTGGAGTCAGACGGTCTAGATGGAAACCTGGCTCTGCCATTTCATGCTGCACCACCTAGGCACGGCACGTAACACCTCAGCAAGCCCCCGTTTCTTTTTCTTAAAATGGTTATTATAATACATTCACCTCATAGGATTGTTGTGAGAATTAGAAAACATACTCCACGTAAAGCAGTTAGCATAGTGCACGGCACTTAGTAAGCCCTAAATAAATGTTCCTATCATTAAATTTGAGAAGCCCTGGTGGCACAGTGGTTAAGTGCTCAGCTGCAAACCGAAAGGTCGGCGATTCAAATCTACCAGCCACTCTGCGGGAGAAAGATGTGGCAGTCTGCTTCTGTCAAGATTATAGCCTTGGAAACCCTATGGGGCAGTTCTGCTCTATTCTATAAGGTTGCTATGAGTCAGAATCGACTCGATGGCAATGGGTACGGGTTTACCATTAATTTTAAAAATGTTTTCATTGCATGTAAAAGATGGCATTGCATTGATAAACTATTAACTTTTCTTTACAAGTCATCAAAAGGTTTCTAAGTAAAAAAACCTATCCTTCTTGACTAGTGGGATAGGTAAAAACGCATTTTAGAAGGTTAACTAGTTTATTTAAGGACACATGGAGGTAATAAGAGAAAGGAAAAGAGACAGGAAACTTTAAAACAAAACAGTTCTGAAGATACTGGCTCCCTTCCCATCCAGCTCTTGCTCCAGAGCCTAGTCCAACGTAGGCCCTACCATGACCACATTCACACATACTTTTCTTTCAGACGCAGTTCATCATTCATTTTTGTCAGCTGAGACGAATTATCTCCCGACATCTTCATTATTTCTGCAATGTCATTTTCCAGTTTTTCCTTGGCCTTCATTAACTGCATTTCTCTTTCATCTCTCTCTCTGAATTTTGCCTCCATATCTGAATATATATGGGGAGAAAAAAAGAATCGCACTGTTGTGTTACAATCAACAAAATTTTAAAAAATATTTTATTGTATGTTTGGTGAAAGTACACACAAAAAACCAGGTCCTATTCAACAATTTCTACACGTTTTTCAGTGAGATTAGTTAAATTCTTCACATTGTGTCAACATTCTTATTATTTCTGTTCTAGATAGTCTATTTCCATTAACTTAAGTCTCACTGTCCCCCACCTTCTCATCCATGCTTTAGAGTCACTGTTGACCATTTGGTCTCATCTACTTTTTTAAGAGCACAGTTCTCAAGGGTATCATTCTTTACTTTCTGAGCTAACTTGCTATTTAGTTAAAAGGTGACCTCAGGGGATCAACAAAACTTTATCGAGGGCCTCCTAAATGCCAACCCTGTTCTAGGGAATATCTGCACATAGCAATCCCTACCCTAATGAAGCTTGTATCCTACCAAAGCAGACAGACAATAAACAAGGTAAAATTTAAAAAGTAAACAGACAAGAATGTAACATAAAAAAGGGAAAAAATAAATAGGCGTTGGAGTTGAATTCTGCAAGATCCGAAGGCAGAGGGGGGGTGAAGCATGTGGGTAGGTGGGGAGGAGGACGGCAGGCTGAAGGAAACGCAAGCACAAAGGCAGCGAGGCAGGTACAAGCCCCGCATGCTCCAGCTCGGCAAGGAGGGCCACATGGCTGAAGCAGAGTGAACAAGGGCAAGAGGTGAAGTCAGACACCTCACAGGGTAAGGAGCATGGCTTTTAATCTCAAGTGAGACGGGAAGTCGCTGGAGAATTTGAGCAGAGAAGTGACATAATCAAAAGGACTGTTCTGACTGCGGTGTAGAGAACAGACTGAAGGGGACAAGAACAAAAGCAGGTAGACCAGCAGGTCAGCTACTACGCAATTCAGATGAAGATGATGCTTGGCTTGTTTCCAGGATATCAGTGGAAGGATGAGAAGCACTTGCATTCTGGCTACATTTTGAAGATAGAGCAAAATAGGACTTGTTGAAGGCCACAGATCTCAAACAAGTATTTTTTCACATTATATCACAGTAAGTGAAGACTTTAAGCTGGAATAGTGGATATGCTATTGTAACATTCTACAACTATCTCAAATCCTAGAACGCCTACTATATTTAACACAGTCATTAATGCATAGCCCATAATGCACAGTCATCAGAGATGTCTTCTTACCTGCTAGATGTTCTCTCAACTTCTCCAATTCAGAGGACAGCGAGTTAAACTCTTCTTCTTTTTGGTGTAATTTATTTACAGTTTCTATAAAGTAACAAGTTTAATATATTTCATGTTTAATAAGCTAGAGCTTGACTATCTTACAGCCAAATCTAATCATGTGCTTTTAAGAATTGAGATGCCGGGACACTAAAAAGTCCCATTAGAAATCAAACCACAGTACGGTGACCCTAAAAAGGATTAAAAAAAGGCAGGCAGGCATCTCTCCATTGCCTCTCTGAATCTGTAGATCAGGTAAGCACCAGGCACCCCTTGGCCAGGCATCTCTTTGTTCCTTCCAAGTAAAAGTCAATCAAGCTACCAACGACTACTGCTTAAATATGATTATACTTTTCCCAAGTATAATCACACTTTAATATGGAACAAGCATTAAGTGAAAAGAAGAAAGAAATGATGGGGAGTCTGAGGCTTCAGGAAGCCAGTAGAACCCAGTATTCCTTTGAGCTGCAGGAACTTCCAGGATATGATATTAGACTAAAGGTAGCATCTATTTTGTGTATTCAGGGACAGTTTGAGAACAGGACAGTCTCTAAAGCAATCTGCTCGTGCTTTAAACACCAAGACACACCTTGCATGCTCCTCTGAACAGAGACAGCCTCCTCCGACGCTTCAGCAAACTTTTCTTTCTAAAGAAAGCGAATGGGATATTCAGAATAGAAAGATTTCAAGATTTCAAAGTACGAAGATAAAAAATTGCCATCAGTTATCCCTATAACACTACAGTAGTCCCCCCTTCTCCATGGTTTTGCTTTCTGCGGTTTCAGTTACCCGCAGTCAACTGCGGTTCGAAAATGTTAAGTGAGAACGTGGCATGATGAAATCTCACGCCGTCCTGCTCTGTCATTCACATCACTTTTACTACAGTATATTGTTATAATTGTTCTATTTTATTATTAGTTACTGTTGTTAATTTCTTACTGTGCCTACTTTATAAATTAAACTTTATCACAGGTATGTATGTATAGGACAAAACATAGTATATATAGGGTTTGGTACTATCTGCGGTTTCAGGCACTCAGAGGGGGTCTTGGAACATATCTCTTGCAGATAAGGGGGGACTACTGTATCTGTTTTTTGTTGCTGGCTCTGTTTCATTAAAACGAATGTATGCTTAACACATGTAGACATCAATTACTACCATCTGTATATTGTGCACGCGTGCACGTATGTGCCCGTGTGAATGGGGCTTGCATATGCACATACAAGTTTGTGTGCATGTGTGGGTATACATGTGTATAAGTGTGCACGTACATGGATGTGCATATGTATGTATATGCCTGTGGGTGTACATGCATATGTTCATGTGTACGTGTGAGGTACGTGTGTCCTTTTTCCTCATGTTGCTACCCTCATGTACCAAACCTGCACTTCAGAAATCTGTTTGAGACAGTGAACAGAGTTCTGCAACCTTCTATCCCTGAGGGTAACCCGAGCCTACTATCTTGAATCTAGGCCCGTGTCAGGTACTTTTTTAAACCAAGAAGGTCCTCTGTTCACCTACTGTCACAGGCCTTTCCTAAACACGAGAAAACCACTCTTCTGGTTGTCCTGAGATGAACTTTGGGCTAGAGATACCAGGAGAATTGTAAAGGGCTACTTCTAACTAACTAGGACTATAAAAAGATGGGTATACATGCCCGAAGTCCAGCCAGAGGTTGCCCACCCGTGTTATGCCCAGAGCCAGACTTCAGGTGGCACGTTTTCTCTTTAGACTACAGAAAGCAATACTTGAAAGAATTCTCAGAGTTTGGGGAGGAGGGCAGAGGAATGATGTGGAACTCAAAAAACACTTTCTCAGAGAAAACCACGCTACAAAATGGTGATTCCCAGACCAACTTTTGCTCAAAATGTAGCTGAAATACTATATACTATATACCAAAATGGTCCAATAGAACTTTCTGCAGTGATGGAAATGTTCTATACTGCACCGTCCAGTATGGCAGCCACCAGCTACAGGTGGCTACTGAGCACTTAAACTGTGGCTAACATAACCGAGGAACTAAATTGTAAATTTTATCTCATTTTATTAATGTAAATTTACATAGCCATGTGTGGACAACGGCTATCATATCGGACAGTGTAGCTACATACTTACCATAAAATAAAAAAATAGAAACTTGTAATATTAGCATTTGAATAAGAAAAAAACCCACTTTTATTCACCACTGTTGTTAGCACAGAAGTGGGTAACTGGGGGATCCTTTGGAGGTACTGTTTATCTTATGTTTCCTCCATAAATCTATCATTTTCCTTCTCCATGATACGTGAGTATCGCTGGCACTGCTCATGCTTATCGGCCTTGATGAAGCTTGTGTTTTTGGTGCAGGAGGAAAGGCAGGAAGGAAAAAAGTTAAAAAGTAACAAAGAAAATATTTCTTACCACTTGGGATTAAGGAAAGAGGACATATACAAAAGGAAAAGTAATTTCCTGAGGTAGAATAAACATGTAAGGAAGAATTATTTCAGTGAATTAGACAGCAGCCTGCCTCACTAAGAGAAGGTGCTGGTGACCCAGGACAGCCTGCTGGCTTGCTACCCGACACAGTCCTGAGGTAAGCAGAGGGCAAAGAGACGTGTCCTCGTCACAGATGAGACATAATTGTGTTGGACATGTAATTTGGAAGGTTCTTATGATTAACACTAAACTAAATAGTCTATAAATTGGTCTTAAAAGAGCCCTGGTAGCACAGTGCTTGAGTGCTAGGCTGCTAACCAAAAGGTCGGTGGTTCGAACCCACCAGCTGCTCCACGGCAGAAAGAAGTAGCAGTCTGCTTCTGTTCCTTGGGAACCCTATGGGACAGTTCTGCTCTGTCCTACAGGGTCTCTCTGAGTCAGAACCAACTCGACAGCAACAGGTAGTCAATACGTTCTGAAGCAGTGTACTCCCAGAGGTAAAGGATAGATTAAAAAAAGTAATACCCACCTTGATTGCTAGTTTGGGTTTGATCCAACTCCCTTCAAGGTGTATATCAGCCAGTAACTAATAACTAAATTTAAATCAACACTTTGAAGGAGAAAGGAAATAGGCGCAATATTTCTTTCTGTGTGAAGATGTTTGTTTTCAACCAGGAACAATTGGCCACGAACCCTGAGATTCAGGTTCCCATGAGGTACTTACCAAAATCTGAAGATCCTTTTCCAAAGCCTCTTTCACTTGACTGACTCCACTCAAGTTTTCCTGAAGGTTAGTGAGCATTAGCTCCTTCCCCTGGAGCTCTTTGGTGATGCTACTAGCCTAACACATAGAGTTACATGGTACAGAGGAAAACGAAAAAACGGGTAACAAAAAGGAATGAGAAGGAAAAAAACAAAACAAATGTAAAAAATGTATGAGAAACAAACATAACAAAACGAAGCTGAAAAGAATAAAGGCATGGGTAGTAGTTTTGTTTTTTTAAAGTTGTTATTAAACAATAACTTTTCAAACTATCAGTTCTAGATAAGGTTGTCTAATGGCTATTTTAAAATAGTCAAAATAGACTATTTATCTACCCCGATATTTAGGCTATCGAGATGATCCAAAGCAGGAAGTGCAGAAGCTTACTTTTAAAATGAGGTACTTGAGCAATTTAATTTTCTGGGTCTTAAAATTTTTAAGATATGGAAGGTGGGTACATGTTGTCTGTGTTACTATTATCTGCACTTTTTTGGTATGCTTAAAGTAGTTCAGCAAATTTTAGAAATCCTTTAGACAATAAATGAAAGCCAATTAAATCTTGATGTAAATAAAAAAGATGGTCCAACCAGTAGCTACGTAGTCTCTTCTAATTAAGCTTTGTGTTTTGATTGGTGGTTTGGAACCACGTGAGGAGATTGGAGAAAAATTTCCTATAACCTGTTTGTCACCTTCGATGATAGTGACTTAGCAATGTTTTGCCATTTGTCTGTCCTCACCTCTCCCCATTTAACCACCACAACCCTTCCTTCTTTGCCAAAAGAGCAGATGCTCCAGAAACAAGCTCAGAACATTCAGCATCAATACCAGTTCCTTCACTAGTGGCAGGAGGACTGGGAAAGAATTTTCACTCCTCGAACAAGCCTTGAAAACGAAGACGACGTTTAACAAGGCTGGTTAGTAAGCAATGTAGCTCGCTAACGTTTCACATAATTTTTACACCTTGACTAAAGCACACTTATCCAGTCTTTCCTCAAAAAAGTGGGGAATAGATTGTGTTCTCGTTGTGGGATAGTAAAAACTCTGTGAGATAGAAGAAGTAGCAACTCAAAGGGGTCCCAGGCTCTTAATCTGAATTTTGCTGTGAATATTGTTTGCTACAGAATGTTAAGTAGTAGTCAGATTTCACATTTGGCTTTTATCTATAACCCTATAGACAAGGCAATTGTGTAGGTGGAGTTGATCTTGTAAGTTTCTATCTTATTCACGCATTCATTCATTTACCTTAACTCAATACCATCAATTTAGGGAGTTCTCTATTTTAAAAAATATATTATAGACCGGAACCAAGCGCAAACAGGAGATTACAACATAGCCCAGGGATAAAGTAATAGATGAAGTAACCAATTAGAAAACTGACATTCAAAATCGATTCTCATAGTTGAGGTATCATTTTCTCTAATCTCCTCAAGTGAAACCATACTCAAGATATTCAGAAGACACTATACTCAGCTGGGAAATCTGTTGACACCAAATGATTTGTTTCAATTTAATCAGGAATTTGGAGGATGGATTATCTCAACTCAAAAGTAACATACAATGCAAAATAAGAACAACAAATGGAAAACAAAAAGATGGAAGACGTCAATACAAACCTTGCTACTCTCAGCATTCTTTTCAATCTCTAAATTTTTAAGCTGGTTCTTGGCTGCCTCGAGCTGCTGTCTAAGTTTCTCAATTTCCGATTTACCTTCGGAACTGGCTTTCCGAAGTGCATCAAGGTCCAAGAGCTTCTCTTCAGTAGCCTTGAGCTGTGATGTAAAACTATCAATAACCTTGGTTTGTTCATTGCATTTGGCTTGCAGTACCTCTAGCTCCTTTACCTTTATTTCCGCTTCCTGCAATTTGTTTAACGCGTCTTCCATTTCGACTAGATGTTGGTCTTCTGCTTTGTCCAGCTTCGATTTGATGGCTTCCAGACTATTCTCCTTTTCTTTAATGACTTTCATCAGTTTAGCCCGTAGGGCTTCTATCTCTTTAGCATGAGCAGACCGTTCAGAATCTTGTTTATTCTGCAAATTTTCTATCTCATGCTGGTAATCTAGCTTCACCTTCTCTATCTGTGTTTTTAACTCTGCCAATTCTGCTGTCTCCATTCCGACCCCCTTGCTAAAGGACACCTTCAGCTCTTCCATCGCTTGCTGATGGGACGCGATGGCAGTCTCCAGCTTTGACTTCCACAGAGCTATCACATCCGAATTCTCCTTGTTGGCATGATCGAGCTTGCTTTTCAACGACTCATTCTCTTTAGAAAGCTTCTCTGTTGCTGTGTGGAGGGCCTTTATCTCCTTCTGGTGCATTTCTTCACGGACTCCAAAATGCTCCTTCAAGGAAGTTATTTCTCTCTGGTGGTCAGTATGAGCAGCTTCTAACTTTTCTTGCAAAGAGCTGATCTCTTGCAAAAGGGCGAGTGACATATCCACATCACCAGCAGGCTTATTGGACTCAAGCCTTCTTCGGAGCTCAGCTACCTCCTGTACTCTCAATGCCAGGTCTTTTTCTAGTTCCATGATACGAGACTTTTCTGACACTGTAGCCACCTATTGACAACAGTCCAAAGAAAAAGAGAGCATTTAAATAACAAATCACCGATGATTCTCTTTGACCCCAAAGATCTTAATAACAACCCCATCGCAGGCAGCAGTCAAACTACTAGAAATGCCTCATCTTAATGTGTCTATAACTGCAATAACATCTTAAGTCCAATTCTGGCAGCTCTAACTCAAAACTATAATCTTTGGCAAAGCTCTACCATTTTGAGATGCTAAAGGAACCTGGAAGAGCACAAATATTCCTTTTTCCTCTAAAAAGCTTAAATACTTGAAGGATCCATTAACTGATAATAAGTTACCAGAAACAATAAAATTCCAAGTTCTCAGAGGCAGCTCCTTCTGGAAGGAAGAATCCTCCTTGTTTTGCCAGTTGCTGCCACCCGCCCACACCAGTATGCATAAATGCTTCTCCATCTGGTGGAGGTGATCTGACAGAGCTGTGCTGGCTGGAACAGAGGCCACAAGCCACATATGGCTCCTCAGCACCTGAAATGTGGCTAACCTGAAGTGAGATGTGCTGTAAGTGTAAAATACACATCATATTTTGAAGACTTAGGGAAAAAAAGAAGGTAAAGTGTCTCATTAATAATTTTTATATCGATTACGTAATAAAATGATGATATTTTGGATATACTAGTTTATACAGAATACATTATTAAAATTAATTTCACCTGTTTCTTTTTACTTATTAATCACATTTTGAAGACTTAGGGAAAAAAGAAGGTAAAGTGTCTCGTTAATTTTTATATCAATTACACAATAAAATGATGATATTTTGGATATACTGGTTTATACAGAATATATTATTAAAATTAATCTCACCTGTTTCTTTCTACTTATTAAATTATAGATATGTGGCATATGTTGTACTTCTATTAGATTGCACTGGTATAAAAAGCCTAAAATGACCTTTCAGAGGTTTCAGTAAATAACATGTCAACTATAGAATAAAAGCCTCAACTAGAAGATGAACAAATAATTCATTAACATTTTTTAAAAAAAGACTAAGAATGATTACTTACCTGCAATTGCACAAAAGACTCACACAGATCCCCCCTCTTATAATTCTATCCACATTCTGATGTACACGTCTTCTCCCCCTAACCCAGTGGTTCTCAGACTTCAGTGTGTGTATTAATCACTTGGGATGTAGGCTCAAAATGCAGATTCCCAGTTACTCCCAAGTATTTTGATCCTATTTGAGCTCTGGAGTAGGGCCTAGGAATCTGCTGGGTTTTTTTCAACAAATACCTCAGGACTAGGAGAAACTCTTTCCTGAGCTGTGTCCAGTTGTTCAAAGAAAAGTATTTCCCTGTGCTACCTGTTGGGCAGTCAGTACACTACACAGAATACCTTAAACATGGTAGCTTCAGCCATCAAAATTAATTATTTGACTAAGCTGGGGAATAGAAGGCAACACGAACAATTTAAAAACACCAGTGAGTCCCAGATTTCAAGGGACTCACGCACAATGCCTTTTATGGGGACAGAAAATAACCAGTGCGTAGTGCTTTCCTTTCCTCTGCCCACCTACAGGCTGTGATATTGATGAAGACAGAATGTCCACAACAGAAGAGCAGAAGAAAGCACTTGGATCTCCAAAGCCACGTAACCAAGTCATTCAGTATTTCAGAGCTGACTACAACTGTTGTGCTTTGTGGTTTAAAGACGTTGATTCACTTATCCAATTTTTTTCCAGGGAAGGGGAGTCTAAGAGTTTATTAAATAATATACAAAACATTAATAAACCCCACTGCTGCAAGCTCTATAATACAGAGAAAAAAATTAAACCCCGTAGGGTAACAGTTCTTAATCAGTCAAATTAAGAAAATGCCAAGTAAAAATAATAAATAATATGATTCTACTTTGCATAGCATTTTCACAGAACTTTTACTTTTTATCTCATTTCCCAGGTCTACCCTCAATCGAAACTACCTGTGTCTACCTCCCAAAAGGCAAGAAATCATTTCTTCTTCTTCCTCATATCTCTCACACTGTTTACAAACTGAATTTATCGGCCTAAAGGAATTCTAAAAAAAAAACAAAACAAAAACCCATTGCTGTCGAGTCAATTCTGACTCATAGCAACCCTATAGGACAGAGTAGAACTGCCCCATGGGGTTTCCAAGGCTGTAATCTTTACAGAAGCAGACTTCCACATCTTTCTCCCGCAGAGCGGCTGGTGGGTTCGAACCACCGACCTTTTGGTTAGCAGCCAAGCATTTAACCACTGAGCCACCAAGGCTCCTTAATGGAATTCTAAAACACTTCCTAGAAAGGGAATGGGGGTGATATGAAACTCATGTGGTCGCTGGTTAGTTTTAAGCTAATTCACCGCTTGGGAAACCAAGGCGAGGGTCTAGAGAGGATACTTCTTGTCACAGAAAGATAGGTGCTTGAATCTGAACTACCTGAATAAGCCATGCTGCAAACAATGCCTTCTCATCCACAGCAAAAAGAAAACATCAAAGATATCTGCTTACAAAGCTATGATTGGAAAAAGAGTTCAGAAATTTTTTAAAAATCCTTATTTCAACAGCCAGTTAACACTAACGGAACTCGATCTCATCAGTTCGTTTTATTTCCCAGATCAAGTCTTTGGCTCTCAGTAACAAAGACACAGCACCAAACTCCCACTTTTTTTTTTTTTTTTCCTCTTACCAAGTGCACAGTGCACAGGAGAAATCTTTGTTTTGAGGCTGACTGAGAACAATTTCTTCCTTCTTAAAAAATAAAAACTTATGATTAAGAGAAGAAAAATTACTCAATTGTCTAGATTTTTAGATGAGTCATTGATTTCTCACCAAGAGTAATTTCTAAAAATACTAGTAACTCAAAAGTAAAAAAAAAATCAAGATACTAAATCTGATCAGAGACAGTCAAATTTGTGATTTAAAATATGTACGTGTGTATATATTGTATCACATGTAAAATACTCAGAGTCATAATTCTTAAAGCATTTGGCACCAAGTTACATCCATGATAGATTCCATCCTGTGGTGGTTAAGAGCACAGACTCTGGAGCCAAATGGCCTGGATGAAAACCTTGACTATTAGCTGTGTGGCCTCTGGTCAATTATTTAACCTCTCTGTGCCTCAGTGGGAGCCCTGATGGCACAGTGGTTAAGTGCTTGGCTGCTAACTGAAAGGTCAGCAGTTCAAACCTACTAGCTGCTCCACCGGGAGAAAGATGTGGCAGTCTGCCTCTGTAAAGATTACAGCCTTAGAAACCCTATGGGGCAGTTCTACTCTGTCCTGCAGAGTCGCCATGAGTTGGAATCGACTTGACAGCAATGGGTTTTTGGTGCCTCAGTACCCTCATCTGTAAAATGGGGGCAATAATACTACCTACCCCTAGAGTTGTAGAGAGGCTGAATGAGTTAATGCTTGTAAAGCGCTTAGAATAGTGCCTGGCATGAAGTAAGCACTCCATCGGTGTTTTAATATATAAACACACCAAAACATCACTAATACACTGGCTCCAGGGGCCACACAGTGAGCTTATGATGGAAACAAGTCATTTTGGTCCCAACACACTTGTCCCTCCTGATCACTGAGATTTCAACCTCCTGAGTGACAGAGGAAGGAGATGCAAAGAGGGATCAGGTAAAAGAAAAAAAGGTAACTGGGCAGAAAGTCTTTAACTCTCAATAAAAAGAGCCAGTGCTTCAATTCTCTTCTCCCAAGGGGTCAGGGAAGGCACTAAAAGAGAGCTAAAGTAAAACAATGATAACAAAGAATAACTTAGAAAATCCAACAGCTAGGAGTATGAGAACAAGAGGACAATTGGCTGTGTGTGGCAAACTGGACGAACACATTTCAAGGTATTAATACAAACAACCTTAAATGCAGGTATGGAGGTCCTTGCCGTCTATACAGTTGCAAAGTTTCTCTCTCAATTTTGGTTGCATCAACCAAGGAATTGAGTCTTTACAATTGATGAAAGATTTGATAGAGAACAAATCAGTTTTCCCATTAGTCTACGCTCACGAACACCTGAACGGCACCAAGACCAAACTCAGGTTGAACCACTGGGTCAAGGCAAGGGTCAGGCCAATGGCAGGCACATCACCCGAGGTGTCCACCACTCACACACATGGGTCTGCGTCATTAAACAGTGAAAACCATTACCCTAGTGTCTTCTAACTCCCTCTGGAGTTTGTCAGCTTTGGTCTTTTCAAAGAGCAGGCTCTGTTCAAGCTCCTTAATGCGGGCATGCTCCAGTTTGGTCTGCGTCTGTTAGTAAAAAGGAAGAGGAAGAGAACACAACAGTGCCACCATCACATGCCAGCACAAGAGGAAAGAGAGCGGCATGCAGGCTGAGCCACCGGAACCTTCCACCAGAGGATGAACAAAAGGGATAACGGAGAAATGAAGAGGATGGAGGTGAGATGAGGAGGCTGGGGGTGAGGATGAGTACTATGGACACAGGATGACAGTGGGCGGGGAAACTAGTCTACTGACAAAGCAAAATGGAGAACACATGAGGTAAGATGAAAAGTGTCAAATACATGCAGCCAAATATAAGTTATATTGGTTAAGTGAAGTTGATCAGCACAAATTAGAATCGTTAATATTCCTCTAAACTGTCATTTTCCCTCCTCCCACAGTGGCTGTTTGACATTAATGTGTATGTAACTGACTCAGTGACTTGAAAAAAAAAAAAAGTAGATTGTCCCCTAAAACGATTATTAACTATCACCTAATATGAAAAAGATAGCTTCAGAAATCTGAAAAGTGCTCAGTACGTCCTTCGAGGAGGGGCCTTGCACTTTGGCACACAATTCAGTATGAACAAGGGTCAAACGTGAAACCTGGTGAAGGGAATTGAGACCAGAGCTGAGGGACATCACATCAGTGCCTTTGCTGACATGGGTGAGGAGGCTCTGAGAGTCTCAGCAAACCTCTCGTCTATGGTGCGCCGATTTTCCAAAGCCTATTACTTGTCATTAGAGGAAGAAAAAAAAATAAAAAAGGAATCAGATTTACAAGGAGAAAATTCCATAATAATTATCCACACATCCTTCATCTCTGAAGCAAGCCAATAAGAGCCTCAGCGGGAGAAAAGTTTAGCTGGAACTCGTAAGGGGCTTATTATTTTTCTCCTAAGATGAAGTAAGTTCTTCCCAGCTCACAGGTAAGAAATGGTGACAGTGGCGTGAGTTTGAACCACAGCAAGAGCTGGTAAGATTCTAATACGATTCAAAACCTCCGAGGTCTCAAGGTACTCTCTAGCACCCATCATCATGTACTCAGAGGTGAGCTGGAGGAAAACTCAAAAGACATTCTCTAACAGGTGTTAAGTGCAGCAGGATCTTAATAATTCCACATAATCTAGACATTAGTCCAAAGGTGCTACTTCCTCCACCCACCTCTCCTACCCAAGAGGGTCTGATCAGCATAATGAACTGATGAGACCTATTGACCCAGCTGCTCCTGCCAGTGACTTGTATTAATTTAAATATCACGTGGCACTAACAGGTCTGATCTATTAAGTCTGCACATTTAGGGGCAATGAGAAAATGATAACAAACTCTAAACAACGTAACTGAAAGTAGTGCAGAGCTTCAGTAGAAGGTGGTATGTAAACATAAAGATTGTGAACTTCTTTGCTCACTCCAGTGGTACTCCGGGGATTTCAGAGCATTCAAGTGATCACTTTGCTTGTGAACCAGAGATTAACTATCATGGGATATTTAAAAGGTAAACAAAAAAAAAAAAAAAGAGAGAGAGAAAAAAAAGGGAATTCTTTACCTGCTTCAGCTCTTTACACTCAAAAAAATAATGAAATAAAATTCCAAACCTAATTGTCGGGATGGTCCCCTCAGTCCGTATGTGCCTTAGACATACGTCGTTCAATCCACCTGCTTTGACAAGAAAAGAATCGAATCCAGGATCTACATAACTGGGGTCACAGCCTCAAGAACTGAAATCCAAAACTAACGGGAAAAGCACAAGCCTGCAGAACCTTTCTCCTCTGGACACTGAATTAAGTGTCCTCTGGGTGCAGATCAGTACTTCCAGGGAAAAAGCAACTACCCATCCCCTGAGGTCTTCTCCCCATACAGAGATCTTCCCAATGACTGACAGGCATGTCTACAGTGCTCTGGGACCAGATGGCTGCGTGGTGTCAATAATAAGGAAGGGAACTCGTGAGCCACTTCCGGGCCACAGCAGGTAGTGAAAATGCTACTCATGAACAGGATAACCCTCCTTCTGAACCTTTTCCTTTCTTAGAATAAGATGTGGGGAATCCAGGGAGGAAAGTCCCAGGGCAGGAACTGAGAAGAAAAGCAGAGGCTCTGCTGGAAGCGCACAGAGAAGCAGGAGGGCGGGCCCATGCAGACTGACACCAGGCGGGCGGCAGGAGCCTGTTCTGGAAGGCGAGAAGAGACCCAGATCACCGAAGGAGCTGCCCAAAAAGAACCCTCTGAACGCAGTCTTTTGTTTTTTAAAGTTCAGCCTTGAGTTCTCTACTGCAGCTGCCAGGAGGTGGTTGGAAGAGAAGTAGTTCCTTGTCTAAATTTTGTTCTCTTGTGGTGGTAAACCAAAGCAAGCAATTTTTAGATTCTTTTCAAACAGCATCACAGCCGGTGGGGTCCACCACCAAGCAATGCTTTGCAGGCCACTTTGATAAGGTTTGCATTGGTTTGTTGGTATTGAGCAGAAGGAGGAAGGGGAAAAAAAAAAACTATATGCCTAGCAGCACAGCTACTAGGAAAAAGTCACTTCAACAATAATAAATTAAAAGACATAGCGTCTTCACTGAAGAATGCTTGCCTCTTGTTTCACATTTTAGGGAAAGGAGCCCGGGCAGGACAATGGTTAAGAGCTCGGCCACTAATCAAAAGGTCAGCCGTTCGAACCTACCCAGTGGCTCTGTGGGAGAAAAGACCTGGCAATCTGCTCCCGTAAAGATTACAGCCTAGGAAACCCTGTGGGGCCAGTTCTACTCTGTCATATAGGGTTCGCTGTGAGTCAGAATCGACTGGACAGCACAGCTGTAGCAACAAATGAGTTTGAATTTCTTGTCAGGTGCATGGCAAACACTAGCCAGCAGGGGGAGCTAACACAAAAGGCAACGGGTGCTGGGAATTCCACAGTTCCCTCTTGCCAACACAGGAAGTCAAATTAGAGAACTTGGGAATTCTCCTCTGAATTTCTACAACTCCTTTCTCTAATATCTTTTATGGTTCAGTCATCTATCATTTTTTTTTTAATAATTCTAAAATTAGAATACATTATGAACTAGCTGAAGAAGGCCAGACTCTTGGATAAAAAAATTTTTCTGTTTTGACAAAATTTTTTATGAAGCAAACATTTCCCTACTTGTTAAACAAATGAATTTAAAGAGATTAGTCATTACATCATATCCACTAACTGCTCCTTGGAAACCCTATGGGGCGGTACTACTCTGTCCTACAAGGTTGCTATGAGTTGGAATTGACTCGACAGCAATGAGTTTGGATTTTTGTTGTTGGTTTCGGTTTAGTTATTACATACAATTTCTTCAGGATACAGATGTAATTGCTTTGAAAGCCACATGCACAGAAATATTAAGGCCAATGTTGCAAGGTCAGCTTGTGCAGTTAGTATTTGAGTATATAAATAAGCATTGTGATCTGTAATCCATCTGTGTTAACAAGGAATATCCACACGGTTAAGTGCCCTCTTACATTCTCGGGATCTTCAGAAATCTGGCTCTTTTGCTATCAGTAAAAAAATAAAAAAAATTAAAGAACAAAAAAAAAGAGATTCAACTGAAGTTTCCTTATGCGTTACCGTTTCCAGATAACTTTATTTGATAAACTGCAGGTAAGTTTATCAGACAGACTATACTAGCCTGGTATTGATGTAAATATTTTAACTTGTCCCTTTCCCCCAACACTGTAGGCTATATCTCATATGAATTAGATGATGATATGAAACTTCTAATGAGTCTTTGGTGTTTTTAAATGGATGAGAACAACACAAAAGTCAACTAAATGAATGTGACTGTATATGAAATGAGCAAAGAAGATATTAAATCATTAACTGTCTATTAAATTCTGGTCCTACAGAAATCAGGAAATGTTCCCCTTACTCTCTGTTAACCATAGAAATGTACTTATTTCCAAAGAAGTAAGAGCTCCTGTTTTGGAAGGGCCCCTAAAATTTAAGCACTGTGTGGGCAGCGAATAGTCTCTAAAATTGTAATGATAGCAAAAATGTGTATTCTGCGAACTGTACAAATAAGTAAAATTATTACTAAAACTTTACAGATTAAAGGTCCAAAAGTCTGCAGAATTTGGAAAAGTTAAATAATTTACGTTTGTCATATATCTAGCAGTGGTTCAAAAGCATCAAAACCATTTAATTCTGGAGTCTAATTCAAAAATTAATGTGAATAATTGATGAGAAAACTTATGCCAAAGGAAAATCTCTATGAATTCAAAACATGCCACAGAAGTAAAAGAAATTGAAATCTGAATTGTTCTTGTTTTTTGCTCTGGTGATTACTTAAAAAAAAAAAAAATCAACTACTAGAGTATACATTTATCTTTTATATAGTTATAACAGAATTATCCTGCTCAACTGAAAAGCAAAACTGAGGCAAAGCCACAAGTTTTGTTATGGGTTATTATGATGAAATTTTAAAATGTGATTTCGAATAATCAGAGGAGCATATATATTCTTATGCAGGACTGCTTTACAGGGAGGCACACTGCCAGGTGTATGACTGGATTAAATCCAATTCATGGTTCCGAATTTTGAAGCAAGAGAAAAAAGTACTGACAATTTTCCTCTGCAGAGGAACTGGACCACCACGTGACAGGCTCAAAGACTGACACCATCCCTCAACCACAGCCATGCCTGTAACCCACTGGGCTGAGGGGCTGGGGCTCCGCCACCACGCCCTCTGATGGCTGCTCTGGCCATGCGTCTCTGTTAGCACAGTCACTTCACCCACGTTTCTGAACGCTGGCACCAAGAAAGGTTTAGAGAGTGGAAAGCTTTTACCTCAAGGTCGCCTTTGGTAATGGATTCTTCCTCAACCCGGAACTGAAGATCCTCAACCTTCCTGTGGATTGAAACCCAAATGAAGTGTTTAGAGAAAGTAACTAAAGGACGTGTCAGCCTACTTAAAAAAACAAAAAACAAACCAAAAAAACTGGACTCAATACGCTGGTGAATTCAGACGATCAGAAGAAAGTGAAGTGGAAAGAAATGCTTTAAAGACAAAGAAAACAGTCCTCCAGTTTATAAATCTAAGAGCTCTACTCTATTTAGGAAATTCCAAAGTTTTATCCAGGTACTGAATCCAGAAGGCATGAGGTTAAGAGTTAAGAAAAATCGCTGGTCCCCTTGGCCACAGATACTGGAAAGATCTAATTGAGACAAGATCAGCCTGAAAGGAAAAGGTCTGATTACCCCAGAAATAGGTTTGAGACTTCAAGTCAACAATTGCTTCTTTCCAGTAATAGCAGATAGGGAAGAGTGGTATAGAAAACAAAACTCTTTATATCATGCCACATCAGGTATCTCACAGTAAAAAGAACACATATATTCAGCGAATATGCACTGAGTACCTATTATGTACAGAACCAAGGCCAGCAGGCTGCCTCAGCTAGAGACCTCCAATCTTAACCCTCTTCGACAATACCAGTCTTTGCTCCCAGACTGGGACACTAGGGTTGTCAACGATTTGGGGGAGACAAAATCAAGGATCCTATTTGATTCTAAAATGCACATCGTTTTTACATTTAAAAATCCCTGATATTGGAATGTGTATTTCCACAGTGCTGTCAGAATCGATGAAATACGATACTCTGAAGATTCACACAATCTAAGCAACATCTACATTATGAATCTACAAAATGGGGTGTAAGAGAAGACTAAAAGAGGGACAAAGTTTATAACATACATGTGAAAAAAAAATCCTTTAAGCTCACCAGCATTTCTAGCAAAATCAAGAATTAAAAAAACCTACTCGTATGAGTCAGAAATGTCATCTGCAAGCTCATTGCAGAGCTGAGGGCCATTTCTACTGCCCAGAAGTCTGTAGAATAACAGCTGGCTTAAGAACAGAAGCAATCGGTACTGGTCCCAGGCATTCAGAAGGGCCTAAAAGAGTCTATCACTATTTCTCATTTACATGAAGCCATTTTCAGGCTACTAGGAGAATTTCCTATGTAGGCGTTTCTCTCTCCAATGAGAAAGTAATCTCCCTGGTGAGAGGCTGTCTTATACCTCCAGTGGACCCTCTTATCTCCGTGGTTATGAGCATCCCGAGCACACAGGAATACTAGATAATTACTGAAGTATGTCGCTGCTCTCAGAAACGATGACAAAAGATGGCATTAAATGCAATAGCAGACAAACTCCCCATTCTCTGGGGATGTTTAAATGGTTTCTGTGCAGACACTTTTTTCATTGCCCCAAGAAACCTCCCTTTTGGAAGAACCCACCTTGCCTTCTCTCTCTCACACAATTTAGCACTTGATTTTATACTGACTGGGAAAAATTCTCTAATTGTTTCTCATATGAGAGTTTTGTTTTCTTAATAACGTATGGAGTATCTCAAGGACAGGGACCTTGTATCATTCACTAGACAGTGCAATTTTATGTGCTACATGGAAGGTACTTCATAAATGCTAGTTAACTTAGACCTGGAATATCCTCTCACTACAAACAGCTCCAGGTGGAAGCTGGGTTTGCATAAACTCACAATACTTAGGCCATGCTCAGGAGGATGTCTGGCACACAGCAGGCACTCACTAAATACATGTTCAATGAATCAGGCCATGTCTGGATGATTCCACATTTCTTGAAAAGAAGTCAGATCAAAGAAAACCCTCCTTACACAGTAGGAAGAGTCAGATTTCTGCTACACAGAGTCATTCCTCTGGCTCTATGGGTTGACACCAAAGGTTGTTAATGGGAAAATTTTCCTAAGATCTTTGAAAGGGAAAAGGCAGCACTTGCACCAGGAAACAGTTTGGATCACCTTTTCTCCTCCTCCAGTTGGTTGAGAAGTTCCACCTTCTCCCTGTCAGCTGCTTCTACCATTGTTCGCAGCTGGTCCATCTTGGCCTCCAATTCCAGGACGTGCTGGGGAAGACAGGGACGGCAGTGAGGAGTACGTTCCGACCCACATACAGGCCCAGGGGTACCTCCAAAAAGCTATGGCTAACTGGTACCATGGTGGGGCGTCATTACTCTAAAACATTCAAGTGCTTTATACAACCATTAATGGGTTACTCTCGGCAGCTTTCCTGGAAGCTAGATGATGAAAAACCACACCACTAAAGCAACAGAGGGCAATGGTAAAACAACTCTTTTTTTGAAGCTGAAACACATACAAAAGATAATCTACAAAACAGGGTTTGTAATCACGGATAAGGTCCTAGAAAACAAGGTGGCCTAACACAGAGAGGCTCTGGACGTAAAGACCAAAAGACTCAGTAGAATCAAGAAGAACCAAACTTCATCTTTAGGATGATGGAAACTGGTACCATGGGTCACAGCTTTCAGACAAGCCCGGCAGGGAAATTCACACTCATTTCCAGTACTCTCAAGACTAGCTCCCTGGCTCCAAGCACGAGGCATGCCTTTTGGTCTCCTCACTCAACTTAAGAACCATCACCATCTCCACCACAAGACCAGCGCCAGACTTCACCTGATCGTGTCCATCCCGAGCCAGAGCTAGCTCCTGCTCTATCTCCCCCACGTGGCTCGTGGCCTTGGCCACCTCCGCCCTCTCTAGATCCCGTTCAGCCAGCAGCTGCTCAATGTGCTGCTGCTTCTCCTTCAGGGCCTCTTGGAGGGCAGTGGTGCCGGAGATCTTCCTGGCGTACCGGGAGGAGGTCTCAGTCAACTGCAAAGGAAAGTTAAAGAAGTGAAGGGCGATGATGCTATCAGGGAAGCAGGGAGGTAGCCAGGCATGCATGGCAGGCGGCTCCTCAGCAAAGCACAAGGGCTGCCCCAGCTCGCAGGCTTGCCCGTTACTAGGAAAGGCTTGTCGTCAACATCACAAGGAAGCACGTGGCTGCTGTCAGTAACTTTCACAAAGAACCAAAGAGGTCACGGAACAATCACACAACGTAAAGAGGTCACAGAACAATCAAACAATGTAAGGAGGTCACGAAACAGTCAGGAAGGGGTTTTGGAAGGAGAATACAAGACTAAAATCAAAGGCACCATGAGCTCAGTTGGCAGGGCCTTGTCGGAATCTAGAAAAACCCCACAGAACCCACTGAGCAAGTTTCTCGAAACTCCATTTCTGCCTGAGCTTCGTGCATACTTATTTTCTTGTTATGACATGGTGGCCACTTTTCTGATCCTTCAACTTGAGGTTGAGACTCTTCCCCAATTTCTTAAGCTTCTAGATACTATTCAGTAAGCAAGGGGTCACCTTTGGAGTCACAAACCTTCCTTCAATTGATTAAATAGTTGGATCCTTGTCAGGATTTTCTTCGTCTTTCTTTCAACATGAAAGGCATAGGAGATCTTACCCAGGAATCCAGTCTTGAGGACCAGAATCCCCATCACCAGAAAGATTTATGTAGATAAGATTAAGAGTAGTGGTGAGTGGGCGAGTCCATGAGCATCTGTATCTCTGGGCACATACACACACAAGAAAAAGGAAGGAAAAAAGATATGGCGAAAGTGGGGGAAAAAGACATTTAGGAAGAAAGCGAGAAATAGGGGAGGAGAAGGAGGAAGAGAAATAATGGAGACAGAACTGGGAAAACAAAACAGAGGGATCAAAAGAGATAGGGGCAAGGGTGCGGGTGGAGAAAGAAAGTTTCTGTGTGTCCATCTGTTGATCTTTGCTGCTTCACATACTTGATTCCTCCATCTTGAGACTAACAGTCATGTTAAAACGCAGAGGGAAATAACTGTTAAAATAACGCTTAACATCCTGTGAAATATTAACAGGCAATCCAGCAAGCTGAATGACATTCCTTCCAAGTTTGGCTCCAGAGGCTGGTAGGTGGCTCAGAAAAGGCCTCATCCCTCGGCAGCGTTTGTCCCAGGCCATTCACTTAGTGGTAGCGTGCTCGACATCAATGCAGCCCCGACGTCACCGTCAGTAATCGCAGACCCGCGTGTCGCCTGAAAGCTCTTCTCTTAATCAGTCCATCTGAGCCCTTGTGGCAGGATGCAGCTTACAGTGAGTCTCTTTCATCAATTAATAATTAGGCAGTTTGATAACTACGAGAGCGAAGGAATTCAATCAAATCTACACTGTCCTTTACTGCTGCTACTTGGTGAAACTTCTTTAACTAACTTATACAGATCGGGGGGAAATTCCCGTTCTCTCTTTTAACCATCTGACCTTCAATTTCCAATTTCATTATGTGGTTAAATTAGACTTTCTCTTACTAACATTTATCCTGAATATACTAAATCCAAGGTTCCCGTACAAGGTACAGAGATCCCCCGGGGCACTGCAGCAAGCAGGGGCACTGTGGGATATTTTAAATTTTCAATGAAAATGCAGTGACACGTGTTGGACACCACGCAAACTACCAGCTCAAGGCAACTCAGTGTTCAACATGAGATCTTCCGATAACTTTGCATCTTTACAAAGCTGGGTTTTGGCTACTGCTATGATCAAAAAGCAAGTATAGTGCAAAAGTCAATTTAGCACAGGAAACGAGGGTAGTATTTTTCTCTTTTTTAACTTTATAGTTTACCTTTCATAATTATGTCTTTTTTTTTTAAATAATATTTTATTGTGTTTTCGGTGAAGCTTTACACAGCAGTTTAGGTTCCCATTCAACAATTTCTACACAGGTTGTTCAGTGACATTGGTTACGTTCTTCACAACACGTGAGCATTCTCATATTTCCAGTCTAGTTGCTCCATTTCCATTAATCTAGTTTCCCTGCCTCCTTACAGTTTCATCTTTGTTTTAAAGAAATTGTTGACTGTTTGGTCTCATATAGGCGATTTTTTTAAAGGAGCACAGTACTTAGGGGTGATATTTATTATTTTGTGGGCCAATCTGTTATTTAGCTACGAGGTAGCCTCAGAGGTTAGTTTTGGTTCAAAGTTTGAAGAGTATCTCAGAGCAATAGTCTCACGGAGTCCTCCAGAAAGTCTGGTTTTCTGTGTGTGTGTGTGTTTTAGGAATTTGAAGTTCTGTTCCATATTCTTCTCCCATCTATCAGGGTCCAACTACTGTGGCCCTGATTAGAACGGCTGGTAGTGGTATCCGGGCACCATCTAGTTCTTCTGGTCTCAGGGTAGCCAAGACCGTGGTTCATGTAGACTATCTGTCATGTAGACTAGTTTCTTCTTTGAGTCTTTGGTTTCCTTCTTTCTCTTTTGCTCTGGACAAGGAGGGTGGCATTTTTCAATATGATTTCAAGGTTTGAGAAGATTTGCAGTGTCCAACAGGCACACACATCCCGATAGTAAGTAACTGTGGTTATTTAACAATGAAATAAAAACATTAATTTTTTTCTTTCAATTTATGTGTATCATTTCTTTTCAAATGGCTACTAACTTGTTGTTTGTTGTTAGGTGCTCTCAAGTCGATTTTCTACTCATAGTGACCCCATGTGACAGAGTAGCACTGCTGCACAGGGTTTTCTAGGCTATAATCTTTACAAGAGCAGATCGCCAGGTCTTTCTCCCACAAAGCCGCTGGGTGGGTTCTAATCACTAACCTTTCAGTAGCAGCCAAGTACTTAACCGTAGTGCCACCAGGGCTCCTTAGGACATAAATACTAAGTTATTTGAACCTAATTACTTACTTAGGAGCACCATGAAAAATAACTGAGACACTAAAGGTGCCATGAACCCAGAAAGTTTGTGAACCTCTGTGCTCAATATTTTCAGAAAATCATTTTGTTAGAGAATTTTTAGACTTTTCCATATATGCCTGGGACTATATTGTTCAGAGGAGCCCTGGTGGCACAATGGTTAAGAGTTCAGCTGCTAACCGAAAGGTCAGCAGTTCCAACCCACCAGCCGCTCCTCCAGAGAAAGACTTTGCGATCTGCTCCTACGAAGATTACAGCCTAGGAAACCCCATAGGGCAGTTCAACTCTGTCACATGGGGTTGCTATGAGTCAGAATCAATGGCATCCAACAACAGCAACAATGACATTGTTCAGAGATATATTTCTGGGAAGTCACAATTTCAATTATTCTATGTCCCTGTCATATCATTCTTTTCTGGTAACTCCTTGCTTGGAAACTATAGCTACCCTATACCAAGACATACAAAAATAAGCAGTCTTAAAAGGTGACGGAGACTCATCTCTCTTTTGTCAATATTCTTCACTAAATGAGAGGAGCTAAGAACCGGTCTGAAAAGAAAGAGGAGAGATTGGTGGGAGCACGGAGAGCTTGATGTTTTCCAAAGAAAAGGAAATTCTTAATTTTTTTTTATTATAAGGCAATAAAAATTACTCAAGTAAGACTTCCAATCCAAATTAGATACTCCCATGGAATTGTTCCTACATTAGCAAAGCAGACCAGATGTCCACAGTAGAGTTCGCTGACCCACTCTGAACAAAGCTTTGTCCTCCTTGATCTTGTCATATTTTTCTCATAAAAGTCCACTTGTGATTTTTCTGATGAAGATGCAGATTTTCTTTTTGTGTGCAAATTGAATAGTCTGAGCAGGTATTTATTTTGCATAAATGTTAAGAGGAAGAAAATTCGGTGGACTGGCAAAGGAGCACGACCCCTACATAAAAGAAAGATTCTGCTGCCTCTCCTTTCCCTGTCAGCTATAAGAGAAGCTAAGGCAAAAGGAGACAGCGGGCGAGCACCCCCGACTCCCCGGGCCGCACACTCCACAGTCTAACTCCAGTCGGTTGTTCACCACCATAAAGCACAGATCCCACATTCAGCTGGGAAGAATCTTATGCTGCCTTTTCAGATGTAAAACACTATTTGCCTCATGTCAAGTAATAAACTTAAGGGCAGGGGATGAGGCCAAAAACCTATCGCTATGACACCAGTGAAACATCACGTTAACAAACAGAAGGAGGTGCTGCCTATTTTAATTCTGTTGTTTCTATTTTTACTGCCCTAAATGGGATAAAAAGGGGAGGGGAGGGGAGGGGAGGTGGAGAGGGAGAGGGAAAGGGAGGAAGGGAGAGAACAGAACAAAGGAAACAAAACAAAACATGGCTTTTCCTAGCTCCTTTCAAGTTCTAGAGGTTTCCCTCTGCATCTTCTGGCCTAAATCAGGAACACTCCACACATTAATGCTTCCAGTGGGTTAGACTGTATTAACTTAAGATTAGGATTCTAAGAACACACCTTTGCTCAAAATACTTTAGTTAATAAATTGTTTAAAGTCAAAGAGAAAGAGACTTATGTACTTGAGAGAAAGTAACCCTTCAATTTTCCTGTCTTTCTTGTTGTGCCCAAAACTACTTCCAAAAAAGAATCCAGCCCATATGTTAGCCTAAACAGCAGTTACTACACATTTATCAAGAACGAGTATGTTTCAGGGCCTTAAGAATCTGAAAGGAACTGTCAAATACCTTTTTCTGTTTCAAAAATTATATTCTGTCTGGAGTTACATTTTTTTGAAACTTGCTTGTAGGGAATTTCACAGTAAGCTACAACTAACATTCAACACAAGGACAAGGGAGGGTTAATATTTTTTAAAGCAAAGCAGGTGAATGGGCAGTGTGCATTCCTCACGCCCGGGAAGTAGGAGGCACATAGTAAGTAAAGGGAGGCTTACTAATCCTGTCCGACTGGGCTTGCTGCTCACTGAGGAGGCCACGGAGCTCATGGAGCTGAGCGAGGAGGCAGAAGGGCTGCGCTTCAGGCTGGCAGGCGTGGTGGCCATCACTCGCCTCACAGCTGCGGCCTTGGCTTTGGCTGGTGTCGTGGAAGGGAAGCCAATCTTGGTGACTTTGTGGACAGGAGCAAACAAGCCATATTTGGGTTGACACTGAAAATACCTTTAGAGAACAACAATAAAAACGGTTAACAAAAAAGCCAACATAATTACAAGAAATAACGACTGTTACCAAAAAGCTCTCCAAATGCATAACTTATGACTGGTTGGCTGTGAATTCTACCAGTAAGCTGGGGTTTGATTTCTTGACTGCTGTCAAATGACACATTGCATTGGGCAAATCTGCTGCAAAAGTGTTGACAAGCAAAGATGTCACTTTAAGGACTAAAGTGCACCTGACCCAAGCCCATGGTGTTTTCAATTGCCTCATATGCAAGCGAAAGCTGGGAAGTGAATAAGCAAGATTGAAGAAGAATTGATGCCTTTGAATTATGGTGTTGGCAGAGAATATTGAATGTATCACGGACTGTCAAAAGAACAAACAGATTTGTCCTGGAAGAAGTACAGCCAGAATGCTCCTTGGAGGCAAGGATGGCAAGGCTTTGTCTCACATGCTTTGGACATGTTATCAGGAGGGATCAATCCCTGGAGAAGGACATTATGCTTGATAAAGTAGAGGGTCAGTGAAGAAGAGGAAGACCCTCAACGAGATGGACTGACACCCTGGCTGCACCAATGGGCTCAAGCATAGCAATGACTGTGAGGATGGCACAGGACCAGGCAGTGTTTTGTTCTGTTGTACATGGGGTCATTATGAGTTGGAACCGACCTCAGGGCACCTAACAACAACAAAGCTGGGGTTATACGTTACTGTGTAGCATTCACATGTATGCTGGCTGATAAAGAACTGGTGATGTTTTAGAAAATGTACTAATAAATAACAATGGGAGACACAGAGACAAGGTTACTCATCTGTTACTAAGGCTCTATGCGAAAGGAATAAATATTTCCACCATCTGATCAATGTAAAGCAGATGAGGTCAGCAACACAGCAACCCCACTTAATAAAACCATGACCAACAAAGGGAAAGAAAATCAAGTGGGCACCTATCTCTGGCAGATCCATTAAAGCCAATGTGGAGAATATTCAGTTAATGGCAGGTCTGAAACTCATTACTTGGGGACCTTAGGACTAGAGAATTATGTTTTAATATCAACAAGGGATGGCTTCATAATTATTGCAGCATCAAGAGATTTTAATATCTCTGAGGTACTATTACTGTATTTGGTAGATAAAGCCTATATGCTCATAATCAATTTGAATATGTTTTATAAGTAAAATGTGAACTATAACATTTCAATATTCAAAGCTATCCATTAATGTATACTACTACTACTAACGCATCATATACTGTGCCTGTCCCCAGTGCCTTCAAAACCTTATGAAAAGGAGTGTGGGAAATTCCTCTTTGCATTCATTTGCATTCTTTAATGGCCATCCTATCTCTGGGAGGAGAGCCGGATTATTTTTCTAAAAGAAGTATGCCTGCTGTCTGCTCCCTTGCACAGGATGGAATTCTTATCATCACACACAAAGACACATTTGACATTCTTTTCCTAACAACGTTAACTTCCTGCTCTTCATCCCCCCAACCCTGACACCCAGGAACTCATTCAGAGGTTGACTGTTACCAAAACGGAGAGAAGCCAAAAGGATGACATAATATTTCCTTTCTATGTTGGAAAATAAAGTGAATGCTTGTTCAGAATCTACTCAGATGTATTATACATATTACTAACGAGGTAGTCAAAAGAACAACTCCAGTTCTGGTGGGGAAAAACAGTAGCTGGGTCTTTGACTATACAGCAACAGGGTTTTGGGTCTTAGGAAAAAACAAGTGTATGGCGCAGAAGCGCTTATTTCCACGTTATTATACAGACTTGCTTGAGTGCCTTTATGTGCAGGAGGAAGAACAGATGCTGCACAATCCCAGACAAACCTTGTTCCAGCAACAGCCCCGTCGTTCTTCCCGAGCGGTTCATCTAACTCCACACCACACCACTCCCCCTTGGCGAAGTCTGTCTCCCCAAGGAACCGCACTACACCAGCCTTCGTGCCACCAACCTGAAAGGAGAAAATGTCAGAATGAAAACAGACGAACCTAATTCTAGAGCTCAACCTTCTGTGGCTCTAACAGTTAAGGAGGGGGTCCCGTCATTTCCATCAGTGGCCTGTTCTCTCTTTACCATTTTTTTGACTCCTTAAGAGTTCTCTTGAAGAAAGGCTGGCAGTTACCTGGGTGATTTATATTAACAGAGTGATTCAACACCTGATACAGCCTAGTAACAAAAATGCCTAAGCAATATGTGGTAATTAAGACCACCTACCAAATTAATTATTCCCTTCCTTAGAAAAGTACTTTTATTACTACAGAGGGATTTTCTTGCTTCAAAATAAATACTTGCTACAAAAATAAAACTCTCACATCATTAAAAGAAAACAAAATTCATCCATAATCCCTATACTTTAACAACAGATGTGTTTATTTTCACACCGTAATCAGTAGAAAGCAATATAATATACACATCAAGGGCAAATACACACACACACACACACACACACACACACACACACACACTTGTTTTTGGTTTGGTCTCTCTGTGTATTACATAAAAATTTAAATATTTTTAAATAACTGACTACTGGTATTTCCCACTGTGATACTCTGTTTCCTCACAACTATTAAAATTACCGCAGCCCTGGTGGCACAGCGGTTAAGAGCTTGGCTGCTAACCAAGAGATCAGCAGTTCGAATCCATCAGCCGCTCCACGGAAACCCTATGGGGCAGTTCTACTCTGTCCTATAGGGTCATTATGAGTCAGAATTGACTTGACAGCAATAGGTTTGGTTTTTGTTTTGTTTTGTTAATTACCATTCACATGAACTGTTTGAAGATGGTTTTTAAAAATGTTTAACTCTTCGTTCTGGCCATTGTTTCATACAGTATGTGAACATTAATTATCTCTAAAATTATCCTATCAGCATGTTATTATTCCTTCCTTTGCCATTATTTTTCAATTCCAAATACTCATTTATCAAATTCGTACTTTATCATGCGCACGTGTGCGCGCGCACACCTAACACAGACATACACGTGTGTCCCTGAGTCTTTCTACAGGTCAGAAGTTCCATGTCTGCACCTCTGCCACAGCATTTCAATGACTGCTATCTTACAATCTCCACCATTTGCTAGCACTTTCTTTTTCGATGCTTATTTCTGAATTTCTTTTCTTAAAAATTACCCCAATTATAAAAGAGATGGGTCATTGCAAGAAATTAAGAACACTGCAAGCAAAAAATAAATGTAATACGGTATGCTAAACACCCAGAGACAGTCCTGCCGACATCTTTGGTTCATTTTCCCTTCCACACTATGATGGCTGTTCAGTATTCCACAGTACAGACGTACCACAATATGCATGTTACCCTCTTTTCTGTTCAGATGGTCACTATTTTTTATTGATTAAAAAACAATTCTACATGATTTTCAATTGATTTTTGAATAGGCAATACATTCACACAGTTCAAAAAGTTTTAAGTACACATGAGGATAAAGTTTCTCTACATCTTTTTCCTATCTGCCCCATTCCCAAAAACCAAATCCACTGCTGTCGAGTTGATTCCGACTCATAGCGACCCTACAGGACAGAGTAGAAGTGCCCCGCAGGGTTTCCAAGCTGTAATCTGTACAGAAGCAGACTGCCACATCTTTCTCCAGAGGAGCAGCTGGTGGGTTTGAACCACTGACCTTTCGGTTAGCAGCCAAGTGCTTAACCACTGTACCACCAGGGCTTCTTCCCCACCACCACAGATAACCACAACTATTGATCTCTAGAGTTTCTTTATGCATAGAAAAGCAAATGTTAATTTACATTTCTATTCCCTCTTTTATTTTTACACAATAGGCAACGTTCTTACAGTACTGTTCTAAACCTTGCTTTTTTCCATATCAAAACACAGAGAACATACCTGTTTCTACAATTACATGTTGTTCCACTATATAGATGCATTATAGTTTATTATATCAGTCCCCTGTTGACAGACATTGAGAGTAAGCAGGTTTTTTTTTTTTTAAGAATTGTAAAATAATTTCGGTAAATTCTAAAAAAAAGTTTAATGAGATTGTATTAAATTTAGATTTCCTTGGGAAGACACTTTGTTTATCTTTACAAGGAACCAGCTTTTAAATTTTCCCTTTTTATGTTATGTTTGTTTTACTTTATTATTTCCCTTCTCCTTTGTTGTAGCTTATTCTTTTCTTCCTAAATTCTCAAGACCAATGCTAAGTTTATTTTTAGTCTTTCTTTTTAATACTTAAGGTATTTTATACTTTTCTCTGATAAAGCTTTCTGTGGGTTTTAGAACAACTCTTATTTTTTTTTCAGTTTTGTTTTACCCTTTGTTTTCCATTTTGTTAAAGATGAAACATGTTAAAGCCTCACGGCTACTATTTCTCTGAAAGAGAATTTTTTGTGAAACTGATTTAAAGAACCAAAGGAGTTATGATTTCAAGGTACTCTAGGTAGGAAGAGGGAGTCCTGGTGGTGCAGCAGTTAAAGCACTCAGCTGCTAAAGGAGAGGTCAGTCGTTTAAACCCACCAGCCGCTCCTGGGAGATGTGACAGTCTGCTTCCATAAAGATTACAGCTTTGGAAACCCTATGGGGCAGTTCTACTCCCTAACACAGGGTCACTATGAGTTGGAATCGACTCGATGGCAAAAAGTTTGTTTTTTTTGTTTTCTAGATATGGAGGAGTACTGGATGGCGCAAATAGTTAAGCGCTTGGCTACTAGCCCAAAGGTTGGTGATGCAAACCCACCCACAGGCACCTTGGAAGAAAGGCATGGCGATCTGCTTCCAAAAGTCACAGCCTTGAAAACCTTAAGGAGCAATTCTACTCTGCACACATGGGGTTCCCATGAGTCAGAATGGAGTTGACATCAACTAACAACAACAACTAGGGAGGAAGGGCATATGAGGAGTTTAAGACGTGTAACAGAGGGGGAAACTCCATGGGAGGGACTTTGCTGTGTTCATCACTGCACCCCACAACACCCAGCAGAGCACAGAATAGGCACTCCACAAACATTAGCTGAATGAATGAAAGGCGACCACCTCATAAAAAGGGCCACTTTTCCATGTTCTTGAAGTTAAACCAATTAAAACAAAAAAAAGATATCTCCTGGTTGAGGTTGAATTTGATTTCCCTGGAGCAAGTACGGGCTCTAAGGCTGGACAAGATCAACTGCCAGCTCTGGCTATTAACTGGTGAATTTTCTGAATCTCTAAATCTCACTTTCCTCATTAGTAAAATAGGGATAATTAAAGGACTGTTTCGAGGATTAAATGAGACAATCCACATAAAACTGATTAGCACAGGATCTGACAGACAGCGTATACATGTTAGCGCCTAGTTTGCGCATGCTGATGAGAGTACTGGTTCTAGGTTTGGCACGTGTGATGTTTTCATATTCTTGTTAATACTCGTGGAATCCACCAATAGTCACCCATAAAAAACAAGCCTCATTTTTCTCCTTCCTCCTACCCCCCACCACTCTCAGCAGCAGTCCAACAACATCATATAAGCAGAACACAGCACATTAGTGAGAAGTGATGCAATCTGTTCAGATAATCTTCTGGATTCTTTGGGGGTGAGTCTAAGTTGCTGCTGTGAACGCTATTTTTCCAAGAGGCATCTAACAGGATGTGGTCAGTAATTCTCCAAGCAAACCACAGGCTTCATTCAAATCAGAAGCTTTATAAAAAATAACCACGAATAACAGAGTAGTAACTATTGCTCTAAACGCAGGTAATGCAATATACATTCACCCCGAGAAAAAATATACTATGCCATCAACTGTATTTGAAATAGATGATTTACTAGGTCCTAGAATGGACAGTTTTCTTACACTTTTTCTCCCACCAAACTTGGAATTCTTGACTCACATTAATATACTTTCCCTTTCCCAGTAAAACATCATCACTAATTACTCAAAATATCTTCAACAGAGACAGAAAGTCACATGAAATCCTAAAATATCTCAAATGCTTTCCCACTTAACCATTCCACAGTCAAAAGTTTTTCTAAGCATTTAAATGTGATTTTGTAAAATTAGGTTTTACTTCCCATGTATTCCAGAGAATCCAGAGCATTCTAGTACATGCATTTATATTAAGTACAAGCCACTACTTTCAAGTCACATCTAAGAAATTCATGTTCTAGAGGCAGATATCAAGATTATTTAAAAAAAAAAAAGTCATGGAATTATACATGTACATCTAAAAATTGTTGAATTAGGGTATGTTCTGCTGTGTATATTCTCAACAACAACAAAATGAAAATAAATTTTAAAAAAGAAAATAAAGTATATTGAAGCAAAAAAAATGTATATATATAATTTTCCATGGCAAACACAAATAACTACCATTTATTGTCTTCACGTAAGAATACAAGCATATAACTCCCAGCATTGTGGTCAACAGGATCAAACTGCAAGTCACTACTGGACACAAATCAATTTAAACCAGAAACTGAACAAAAGGAAAATCTAGCCACTATCTTCATGTTTTAGGAAATCTCAGATTTTTAAGTTCTCGTTCACTCATTCAACATATATTTCTTAAGTGCTTGGGCCCTTGGGGTATGAAGATAAATAGGATACAGTGTTGGCCACTGAAGGAGAGAGAGAGTCAAACAAATAATTACAGTAAAAAGTGATAAGCGCCTCAAGAGGGTCCCGTGAGAACAGAGACAAACATCCTTCCGTAAACTCTTGTAAAAATAAGAACACTGATAAATTCTGCAGGGCTAAGGAATGGGTCCGAAGACAGGAAACAGGAAACATCTAATTCTGTCTGGACTCTCCCATCTATTCAGTATCAAGACCTAAGCAAGCCATTTAATCTCAGTGGGCCTTGGTTTATAAAGCTATAAAAAGTCCAACGAGTGGTAGTGGGAATGGTTTCACAGGAACTTTGTAAGCGACAAGCGTTCGCTAAGTGGCTTCTTATCTGCTGTCTTCTAAGATAAGGAGCTTCATTCCCTGGTTTTTACTCATTGCTC